CCCATCCGTGAGGGTAACAAGGTCAAGTGGTATGTCGATGCTCTGGACTACTTGTGGGCCGTCTCAATGGCTCTAGAGGAGGCCAAAGAGACCATCTACATTGCCGATTGGTGGTTGTCTCCTGAATTGTTCCTCCGGAGACCCCCGTTCATGGCCCAAGAATGGCGGTTGGATCAGATTCTCAAGCGTCGCGCCGAGGCGGGCGTCAAAATCTACGTGATTGTGTACAAGGAGGTTAGTCAGGACGTCTTTCGCCTCGCGAATGGGGTTGCTAAAAGGATTCGGACTAGGTCAACCAAGCATTGACTTGCAACTCCGCTCATACCAAGCACGCGCTTCGCAATCTCTGTCCCGAAGGAAGCCCTGGTTACGGAAACATCAAAGTCCTGCGCCATCCGGATCATAACATCTTCGAGAATGCAGCTGACATGACCTTGTACTGGGTGAGTTTAAGTCCAAAAGCAGCCGGCAGCGCGTGCTAACTTCATCAGGCGCATCACGAGAAATTCATTGTCATCGACTACGCATTGGCGTTCATTGGAGGTATTGATTTGTGTTTCGGAAGATGGGACGCTCATCAGCATCCCCTGGCCGACGTCCACCCCTCGAACTTGCGGAACGAGGTCTTCCCCGGACAGGAGTTTAACAACAACCGCATCATGGATTTCCAGAGCGTGGGCGACTGGCAGGCCAACGAGCTTAGCAAGGCTGAGTATGGTCGAATGCCTTGGCACGACGTCGCCATGGGTGTGATGGGTGACTGTGTGTATGACATCGCAGAGCACTTCGTCCTGCGGTGGAACTTCATCAAGCGGGACAAGTACAAACGGGACGACAGTGTGGACTGGCTGATGCTGGAGGGTCGTACTGGGGACGACGAAGATCTGGTTGCCGTTCAGCGTCCGAAGTTCCCGTGCGGCGAGTACCTGCAGCACCCTCTTACGCCTCTCGACACGAAGCCGCTCGGCCAGCAAGGCTTTGCACGGGCGCAGATCGTACGAAGTAGCGCCGACTGGAGCAGTGGAATTTTGACGGAACATAGCATCCAAAATGCTTACAAGGAGATCATCAGTCAGGCTCAGCACTATGTCTACATTGAGAATCAATTCTTCAGTAAGATTGTTCACCCTGAGCACTGCACCAACTGCTAACCCCATCAAGTCACTGCCACGGGAGACAAACAGGCGCCCATTCTCAACACCATTGGTCAATCCATCGTCGAGGCCGTTGTCAGAGCTGCCAAGGAGGGAAGAAAGTTCAGAGTGATCATCGTGATTCCCGCCATCCCTGGATTTGCGGGAGACCTCCGCCAGAATGAAGCGACAGGCACCCGCGCCATCATGGACTACCAGTACAAGTCGATCTTGCGCGGTGAACACTCCATCTTCGGCCAGATTTCCGCCCAAGGCGTGAATCCCAGAGGTAAGGTGAACTTCCGTCCGTACCAGACGCAAGCTGACGTAGCTAGAACACGTTTTCCTGTTCAACTTGCGCGCATACGATCGCATCAACAAGACCCCTGCTCTTGTCAAGTTGGAGTCCGAGGCGGGGGTGACTTACAACGATGTTCAGCGTGGCATTGCCGAGTCTATCATGAGTGACAGTGTCCACCCGGCTATCGGCAAAGAGGGCGACAAGCATGAAGTGGGGTATGACAACGCACAACAGGAGAAGGAGGTTCGTCTCGCACGGCTGCGCAAGTACGAGGAGCAGCATGAGCGTCACAAGGAGCTGGAGGGCCTCAAGGGTAGCGACTCCGTCGCCCACACCACCATGCTCAATGGCGGCAAGATGTCCGATGAGCCGTGGGAGGGCAACCCCGAGGACGAGAAGGAGAACTTTATCCAGGAAGAGCTCTACGTGCATGGGAAGGTGTGCATTGTCGATGACCGAGTCGTCATTTGTGGAAGTGCCAACATCAACGACAGAGTATATCCCCCAATACCTGAACCTCCATAAACGCGATGCTGACCGATAGCAGTCCCAACTTGGTTACCATGACAGCGAGCTTGCTATTGTTGTCGAAGACCAAGACTTCATCGGCAGCACCATGGATGGTAAACCGTACAAGGCCGCCCGTGTTGCTGCCACCCTCCGTCGCCAGCTCTGGCGGGAGCACCTTGGCCTGCTGCCCGCTCAGAACTATGACGCTTCTGAAGACCCGAATGCAAAGCCCCCCTACATGTGCATGAACCACATCCTCGAGGGACCTGAAGACGACTTCGTCACTGATCCTATGAGCGACGAGCTCTGGGAGATGTGGACCGGCCGTGCCACCGTTAACACCGACATGTACCGCATGCTATTCCGCGCCGACCCCGACGACAACGTCCGCACTTTCGACGACTACGACCGAATCTGTCCTCGCGGCATCAAGCAAGGTCACTTGTTTGATCCCTTCCAGCCGGTCAATGAAATCCGCGAGAAGCTGGATAAAATCAAGGGCCATCTGGTCTGGATGCCACTGGAGTTCTTGAAGGATGCCAACATGGCCGAACCTGGATTGGCGGTGAATCAGATCACAGAGGTGATACTACCTACCTACCTACCTACCTACCGATTTATGTGTGAAACATGAACTAACGTATCACAAATCTCATCTACAGAGTATCTACACCTAAGCAACATTTGCCCCCAGCACGGAGTACCAATTGTTAATCGACAGGTTGTACTTGCTTTACATACCTAGTGCCTAATAGTACATACCATTATCATACCCGCCACCGACGCCACAGACTAAACCTCGAGGAGCAAAGAAAAGGAGAAAAACGAACCGTCTAGAAGATTACCTACGTAGAGACTAGACTAACCTCCACCCCGAAAGGGCCCGTGCCCACACCACGGATCAGCCAGACCCTCCTGCCATTCCATCCCGTCTCATCCCCATCCCCATCCCAAGCCCATGGTCCATCCATCCATTTCATAATCCTAAATCCATCTTACTTAAATTCTAATGATCCATAGTGCCCAACTCAACCCACCCCTCCGGGAATAGTAAGCAAAGTAAGCAATGAAAGTTTACCTGCGATGCGGAGTACATGAACCTTCCACGCAAGGGGTAGTAGTGGTAGTAATGGGTGAAGGAGAAGGGAGAGAGAAGAGAGACCGAAAGACCGAAGAAGTGAAAGAGATACACGCACACACACACACGCACACCTAAGACCAGCAACCAAGTACAGTTCATACATACATACATCTCAAGCATGTCTATCCCAAGTATCTTACCCCCGTGAATCAAGTAAAAATGGATAAATCATCCATACCTACCTACCTACGTACATGTTATCCAGGGATTTTCCTGAACTCTAATTGCAAGGGATGTTTTATCCGGAACCACACCCTCCCCCCTCCTCCCTCTCCTTCTCACGCCCTATTACCCACTTTGGTATTCGGGATTTGACATCTCACATACTTTAGTTGCAGGGCTTACAGTAGTTACCTGGTAAGCAAATAAGCAGGCAAGCAAGCAAGCATCACTTATTTCCCCTTCAATACTTAGTACATTTACATGATACATATTTATTTCATACATACATACGTTGCGCATGCATGACAGACAGACAGACACATAGATGGATAGATAGCCCCGGTTATGTTTCCTGGTAATGAGTACCTAGTACTACTTAGAGTATGTATGTATGTAGATGATTCGGTAGTAAAATAATGATTGAAAATAAAATAAAACCCTAAAAGAGAAAAAGTAGACGACGCTTTACACACCACGACTTCTACTTACTAACTAAACTCATCTAAGTAACTGTAGAGTAGTAACTACTATCCGTAGGTTAGGTAGTATTTATTTATTAACTAGTCAAACTACTAACAAACTAATCAACTATATCTTCAAGTAATCTTTATTTTTTTTCTTTCCTTTTTCTTATTAATTTTACTTATTTTCTTTTTCGAATTGACTTCCGATACATCATGCAACTCACCCGATCTGGTAAGTTAAGCTGACTGGGGTAGTCTAGTTGTTGAGTTGGTTGGACTTAAAGTGCAAATTTCCTGTTTGGTGTTTGGTGGGTGTGGCTCATCTTTTCCCTATTTTTGCGGGTCGGAAGGAGGCCGGGGCGCGGCGGCCCACTTTTGCTTGTCATTAAGGAATTGTCATTATTATTAGTGGGGAAATTATTGACGGGGATAAAATTTAATTTGGGTCAAATAGATAGTTTGTTTATCGTAAAGTATGTTAGTTATTTTATGTCTGGGGATCTTCGTGTGTCATGTCATTTTTAGCGTATTTGGAATTTGCCAAGGAAAGGGAATGTGTCTACGGAATTGTGAAGGGAGTTCCAAATGCCATTAAATTTGCGTTGCCGCATTGTATTCCTGATAAGGATCTATAAGTCATCTCTATCGCACAGAAAAAGATATTCCAAAAAACAAATAGAAAAAGAAAGGGCCGAGTGTAATAAGACAAGGAATGCAAGGCTCTCTGAAAGGAGGCGCCGGCATTGGAATTGAATCACCAACAGACCGTTTGTTTCGGAACCCTGAACACCAGAGCGATGCTGCTTTTTGTGGCGAAAGTAGATCGTGGACATATGAAATTCCGGCCGTGGCTCAGCATCAGAAGGACTTTTGGGACTTTTCGTCGGGAAAGCAACATAAGAATCGATGGCAAAAGCACGAAAGGGGGCGGAAAACGAGTGGAGAGAACGATACTAGTGGTGGAGAATGGGGGGAAACACTGCTTGCACCGCGTTTGCAGTTACAGGCTCAGACGCATCTCCTTTGGTCGCGAGACATCGAGTGGTATCAAATCACAACCAGGTAGCCACAGCTTGATGTTGATCGATTGAGATCTGGCCCGAATAGGAAGATATCCGATTGGGCCAGGCCACAAAGCAGAGGCGCTCTTCCGTCGACCCTACTCCGATCTGGAACGCCAACAAACCGAGGGGACAATGCGCAGTATGCCGCAGAGATGGAGGAAAAAAAATTTTTAACGAGTTGCAGGAGAAACCGAACCAAATGGAGAAGCAAACGAAATGGGAAAATTAATTAAAGTCAAGTCGCGCAATAAAAGGCTGATAGGCTTTCGGCAGGTATGGCGCGAGGAGTGCTGCAGAAGGCTTTTTCGAAGTTCCAGGAAATGTACGAATCAAACTAGGAACAGAGGTTAGCTTATAGTTTCACAACTGGTGCACAGCCTTCCACAAACAAATCGCAGTCAGGCCACTTGCACACTTACCGATTAAGAGGCAAAAAAGCATGCGTGACGTGATTCTTCTTAGCCTTTGGCGGTGTGGCAGGAGTTGCAGCGACAGTGGTTACAGATCTTGCAGCGCCAAATGGCGACAAACGGACCGGAGTTGCAGTCAGAGCATCGCCAGGTAAGGATATTCCCGTTTGTCGCCTGCACGATGACGAAAACGTGACCTGAGCATTGGTTGGCCATTTCGTCGCTATTTGCAGCATGTTAACATCCTTCCAATTTGCGCGTTGCCAGGAACTGGACGTTATAATGAGGATCCTTCACATACTCAATTCTGTCTCAGAAATGGTGGATGTAGAATTATGCGTAAGCTGCGCAAAATTGCAGTGATACGAGATAATTCTCGATAGTCAAGTATTGGAAGCCGAAGGGATGAAAAGTCCTGGAACTTCTCAAGTTGCAATGCAAAGTAGACGGCCTTGTTGTCCCTGAGTGTGTAGATGCAGGACACAATGGAAGACCTGAACTGAGGAAGACGACAGAGAGTTGTCTGAGAGTCAAGGAAGAGAAGGATGAAGGGAAGAAGGATGTAGTTGTTGATGGTGGATGAAAGACAAAGGACGTTTGGGATGCGTCGCCATAGCTTTATATAGAGGACGAGGTTTCAAATTGGACCAGCGCATGAGACATCTCCTTTTTAGTGATGCGATGGGTGCATTGCTTCGGATTGACCGTTGTTCAGAGAAGGTCCCAGCAGCTGTACGAGGTCCAGACTAGAAGCAGGTCTGCTGCATGGAATGGCTCTTGCCGTCGGCAGGGAATCGAACTGCAAGTACCCGAGGCTGTCGACGGGTCATTAATTGAGTGGAGAAAGCGACAGAGAGTTGAGTGATGGATAACAAGCGACAGGGAAGAGGGTGTTGTGAGGAGAGGAAAGGATCCAGCGATGTGAAAGGAGAATGTGATGGACAAAAACAGAAATATGGGGGAGGTTGGTAGCAGGAACGAGGGTGTGCAGATGAGGAGAATTCGGGGAATAAGCTGTCAGAAAAGGTATTAAGTAGTTAGTAAATTATAGTAGGAAAAAGAGCAGCCCTCTCTTTACGCCGTGAAAGAGAGAGAGAGAGAAAGAGATCCATGGGTGAGTGCCGGACCCCGAAAAGGCAAAAGAAAGCACACGACCACCTACATCATCCTCACGATCACAGCTCATCTCCTATCCTAGTCAAACCGCAAATCTGGGTCTGGGAAAGCGCGACACAAGCTAATCCAGGAACCTAGTCTAGAAGGAGATGATGGAAGTGATATATCGCCGCCAGTGGACCCAACCAAGTGGGTGCGGAACTGTAGGCGACAGCCGCTTATTCCTTAATTACTTTTTCCCTTTTTATTTGCCCTTGGGTGTGTTGCTTTTTCTCTTCTGCGCTCGCATCTTTAAGCTTTCGCCCCTAAAATTAGGATTTCCCCAGGAAGGAGCTGGAAGTTCGACCCGGGAATGCCTGGACTCTGGATCTGGACCCCCATTCCCGATTCATGCGCTTCCGTTTGGGGGCTGAGCTGGTTCCAGCCCTGCGGTGCGCTGCGACTTTGGCGTGCAGATCTGCCCCGACGCTGTTTATTGTGTCTATCCTGGTTCTCGAGAGCATCGGCCATCCTGATGGAGCATCAAGAAAGTCCCCATTCTGAAAATGGGTTGTTACCTTTGTTGTGACAAATCTCCTCATCTCCACCCTTGATCTCCATCTTTCCCAGTCTCTAGTTGTACAGAGACAGAGACGGACGATTTTCCAGTTCCCACCAGGTTGGTAGAGGATGGGGCACGTCCCAAGAGAATATTTGGGGAATGATAGACAGGTCTCTGTCAGTTCAGTCAGAAAAAAGTATCCCTGTTTGTCACTCTGAATTTTCAGAAACGTCATGCCCAGCCGATTTGGGAAAGCCGGACTATCTTAGTGTCGTCCATGAAGACCAGCTCATCTCCGGTCTATCTGATCAGGATGCCCCATCTGCTGAGCTTCTACCAACTTGTTTGATCTTGTAACATCACCGAGCTGCTCCGGTTGTCAAGTTGACAGTGTCTTTTCTGTCATTTCGACTCCTCTCACGGCCGACGACAGAAGCACACATCGACATCCTCTTACAGTCGATCCACCATCACCAGCAGGGATTCCCCGACCGGACAAACAACAAGTACACAGGCATATCTTTTCGCCTTCAAGCCAAGATCTGCATCGCATCGTCCTTTCATTCATACCCCCCTTCGTACCTTCTACTCCTGCACCCGTCCTTCCGTCTGCATATCCTTGACTCTACCTGCAACCCCCCTCAATGTACGATGCAGAGAACGTTCCGGGCGTTGGAGGTAAAGACTTCCCAGCCAACTAAATTCTTTGATGAATTAGTCTCTACCTTCTCGGGCTCCTTGCTGATCCGTGGCCGATCGCTCCGGGCATTTGCAGAGGACCCGCGGGCCCGCCAACCAGGTACGTTTTGGAGTGGCTTGCTGAAGGGATTGTCCAGTATCCAGCGATACCTCTAAGGTTATTTCAGCCACTAGCCCACTAACCTTCAAAGTGGCACAGGAATTTCGGGAATGGCAAGCTGAGGTATAGAAAGACAAGGAAAAGGACAGAAGAAAAACTCTGTCTGGTGTGACAGGAACGGGTCTGCCAATCCTGCAAGCACGTACTTTTGTCCGTTGCGGCTGGCCTGTTTCTCAAACCGTCATCGCTTGCTAATTTCCTCACTTTCAAGCGAGGCCCGGAGGATAGTTGACCTGCGGGAAATCCTCCGCTCACCAAAATTAGTCGGACGCGTCGATCCCTCCAACTGAGTCGCTGAATGCCAGGGGTCCGCTCCATTTGGAGGAGCTAAATGCTTTGGCGCTGGATCTAGTCGGAGAGCCGGCTGGTGCTAAGGAGTAAATTCAAATTGCCGCGGCAAATCACAGGCGCCCGTCGCTCCAAGTTGACATCTCCGGGGCGCTCGCACCTAGATTCACTAGGCGTCTGAATGCCAATGAACTGGATGGGCACGCGGTGCGTCAAGTGCCCCGAGCTTTCTCCTCTTATGCTCCTTATTCAAGCATGAGACTGGCTCGCAATTCGGCCCGGCGCTCAGGCCAATTCTTACGCACATGGCTGGCAGTTGTCATCTGTCGTGAGATGTGTGACTGTTACATAACCTTCGCACAGCATAAGCCTGGGTCGGAAGCACTGGGCTCCCTGCTGATAACTCCCGGGGGATGTTTGAAGAGCCACGCCGCGGGATGAAAGGTGCGGCGTGTGTAAAACACCCGAGTCGTCCATGTCGCGCTCCACGGTTCGTGGTCCATGGGTACCCCTGTCGGGGGCCAATAAACACCAGAATGCAATAGGGTGGTATATCGCCGGACTGGCATTGGTGCTCCGAATGGTTGAGTTAGTTTCACGGGTTCAGAGGGGACAGCATCCGCTTTTCTTCTCAATCAGGTAATGGTGAATTTGTCCCTAGTCGAAACTCGAACATTTGGCTGCACGCTTCCCTGATCTACCGGGAGTGGCTCCCGGGCATATTTCTGGTCCGGTGCGCTTCGGTCCCTACTAGTGTTGCCCCTAGGACCACTTGGTCTCCCATGGTGCTGGGCTTCGAGCTGCGTAGCCCGGTTCCGGTGACGCAAGGTACTTTTGGCTTCTCGATACGTCTTTTTGTTACCTTCCTATCATCAGGGCCGGAAGAGCGCCGCCCCCACAGCCATCGAGTTTTTCACAAACACCATTTGTTCGATGACCTGCCAAATGTGTAGTCCTGCGGTGGCGCCTGTAAACGAGCTGTTTAGGACCCATGTTCGACCGGGCTAGAACAACGGCATTCTTTCCCACGATTGTGATATCACGTACGAATGGCCGGGGAGAGTTTAATTGACCTGCCGTAGCTAATGTCTGCACGCAATTGCCAATTAGTCAAAGTTTACATGTCGGGGCCTCTTTCAATGCTTCCGGAAGGTGTCATCAGCATAGGATACCATCCATCACCATTTCGGCTAGCAGAAGGTACCGGTGTCAAGTGCAGCAGACAGTGAATGCTGCCACCAACCAAGATGTACAAGTTGTGCGCTCAGCACTCGGCCTCATGCACACCGCTATTATTGTCATTAAACCAGATCATCAAGGATACGGAACATATCCACTGACTGGAACCGGGCAGCTGTCCGGCGGTTCCGCTGTACGACCTTTGATAGCCAGCCATTGAATGAAGACAAGTGCGAGGCGTCTTTCAGCTGGCTCCTGTCAAGCCAAACTACTGAGACTATAGGCTAGATCTCCTTTTGCTCCCAAACCTGTTAGAACGATGCCGAACCTCGAGTAAGTTCCACCCGAAGGATACAGACATCCCATCCTGGGAAGCGTTGGAGCTGAGCTGGCGGACAGTCGAAACTATCACGCCACAATAGATCGATTCATGACAAATGTGGAAGCCAAAATTGTAATATTCAAAAACCTGTACATGCTAAACGACTACACTTAACGTATACTGTAATGTCCGAGATGTTCTCTTGCATCAGTTCCACTGGCCAAGGCCGCAGGACGTAAATCCAAGAAACTGATGCCTTCATTCCTCGGCCAACCTTGTACAGCACCACTACCGTCACACACCGAATGGCATGAAAAGATAATGGGCCGGACAAGATTGGACAATTGATCTCCCAACGCTCCGTTAAGAACATCCTGTGAATTAGGTCCAGAGACAGATCTCCTTTCCAACAAGATGCTCTTGCAGTACCCAGAGTGGACTGCATCGCTGGTGTAAAGTTGTGACGTTTTCCTCAATTTCCGTGCCATTGTAAATTGACCGGCCTGAGCGCACCTACGCAGAAAGCAGAAATGACAAGGGAAAATGACAGCCTTGATCGCAATGGCTAATGAGACTAGGGTTCCGGGCCCTGTCCTGATAGATTCGACAGTAGAGCTAGTCTTCATAATCGGCGTGTAGCTGGCTGAGATGTACAGCCGTCGCATGACCACACCGTATGGTTGAATTTAGCTTCAGTCATGAGTTGTGAGTGAGAAAAGGTATCATGATGTTATCATCACATAAGATGATGCTTGCGACACATAAATCGAAGCAAGGAAAGTTGCCATGCGCTGTACGGAATAAGGAAGAAGTCATCAATTTTACTCGTCACTGTCTTTAGTCATCATCTTACCGATCTCCGGGCTTGTTATAGTGCTGCCAGGGATACTCGGGAGGGAAGTTGGAAGAGAAGGGAAGGCAAGGAGCGCCAGGACCCTTCGGATGCCGAAGGCTGAGGCCAATTGACAACCCCGAATCAGTCAGTAAGGTGGAACAACGCCGAAACACTTGGACAGATTAGCAATCATCCTGTATCCAAATGGAAGGCGACTAACCTTTCACCGTAATGATGGCGTCTGATGCTTTCGGCCAGAAGACTCGAAATATCAATGACAATCAACTTCTTTGACCTCTTCACCACCTGCGGTGGAACAGGGAAGCTATTCGTGACGACAATGTGGTCGATCGACTCACAGGCTTCCATCTGTTCGAGGGATTCCTCCGTGAAAAGGCCATGGGTGGCAATGCAGTATACCTTCTTGGCGCCGCCCTTCTTCACTACAGTTTCTGCTGCGGCAGTCCAGGATTTACTCTTGTCGATCATATCATCGACAAGGAACACAGTCCGATCACGGACGTCGCCAACCAAGGTAATAGTCTTTTCTTGCTCAACGTGCTTTCCGCTGCTGCCCTCTTCGTCTGAAGATTCGGCAGCATCGAATGAGCCACCTAGAGCATGGTCGCCTGGAAGGGAAGAAGTGTTGGATATGAGAGAGTTCACCATTGAGTCTGGGACCTCGGGCTCATCACGGCTGGCACTCTGCCCCGGGGTTGTTTCCCCTGAAGCGGGATGTGAAGTAGGACCGGTTGACGGGTAGTCGTCGTCAACAAGGTGACCTTGCACGAGCCGCCCAGTGATGACCTCGCGCACCCGCACATCAGTATACTCATGTGCAGCTTCCAACTCCGAAGGACGACGAGCGCCTGATGGGGTTTCAGGACGCAAGTAGTTTGCCGCTACGAGAGACTCCATGTTGCTGTTTGGCTCGCCCCTGGCATCGTCGGATTGACTGCACTCACTACTTCCACTTTGGAGGTGGAGAGTGAAAGGGTCTTGATCCTTGTCCTTGGCGACGGGAGTGTTCTCTTCCTCGATAGAATCGAAAAAGACAGTACTGTCCGCCATACCGAGGGGTACTTTCGGACGTCTCCTATCAGTCGTGACGATGCCAAAGTTGAGTTTGAGTGTGTCTGCTAGCGAGGTGACACGCTTGGTGCCTCCTGCATTCTTGCTGACCACAACAGCCTCGCGCCAACCCGGTACGTTCATACGAATCCAGCGGGCGATGAAGGGCTCGGCGAACAGGTTATCCACGGGTTTTCCGAAGAAGCCCTGCATTTGGGATGCCTAGCGATCACGTTCATAAGAACTCCATCCATGCCACGCAATAAAGCATTTGCGAAACCAGCGCAACAGACAGATCGCCTTGTGACTCACATGCAGATCCAAAGTTATCACATGGTCCACCCCAGCGATCGAGAGAAGGTTAGCCAACATGCGGGCAGTGATGGCACCACGGTGGCTCTTCTTCTTAGACTGGCGGGAGTACGGGAAGTACCTCGTTTGTGTCAGCATCAGACGTGCAGCCATGGAGTCAAGTAAAAGCATACGGCATGACCGCTGGAAGTAAGAAGTATGCGTCAGTCAACGACAATGGATTGGCGGGAAGTATATCCGCACATACCTGTGATAGATTTTGCGGACCCGCCCTTGCAGGCGGAGATCATAATCAAGAGTTCCATGACACTGTCATTGATCTTTCCGCTGCCGCTCTGGACGATGTAGACATCTTGGTTACGCACCGACACCCCAATGTTTACGCTGGTCTCGCCATTGCTGAATTTTCCAAGATCGGCACGAGCCGGCTGGGTCCCCAGGCGTTCACAAATCGTTTCAGCCAGAAGGGGGTGGGATGTCCCCGAGAAGATCTGTACTCCCCGCATCTTAGGATTGAGATGAATTAAAAGACATAGACCATTGATCAAGAGGGAAGAGAAGACAAGGTAGGCAGCAAGATCATCTCAAGCGCCCGAAGGGAGGGAAGCAAGGAGGGAAACGAAAGGAAAAGGGAGAAAAAAAGGGAAGGGAAGTGGAGGGAAGGGGAGGGAAATGAAAGAAAAAGAAAATTAGTCCGGAGTTTTCTCGTCGGGAAAAAATTCAAGTGGAGGTTCGAAAACGAAAGCAGCTTGGGTGCCTGTGGCTCCCCGTAGCAGAGCTCCCCCCACTTCTTCCAAACCCTCGGAGCCCAAAGATAAGCTCCCCTGTAACCCCGCGGTCAAGTGAGTTGACCTGCACATTGTTCGATCATGGCACACAAATTCCCTCCCGTGCAAGGAGGAGGCTCCCTCATAGTCGCCTGGCAGGCGAAAGCGAAACATGTTTTAGTTGTCGGTGGTGGAGAAGTGAGCTTCCCCTTGCTTAGACCGTTTATCCTGACTCTTTTACAATATATAATTGTTGCTTACCGAGGATTCCGCCTCAGGTGGCTGCAGGTCGCATCCTCCACGCCCTCAATGCCGATGCCAAAGTAACCGTTGTCTGTCCTACCTCCGGCCTCAATGATGAAGTGGCATTCAGGGTAGCAGAGGGACAAGTTAATCACATCGATAGGAACTTTGAGGCTGCCGATCTGGACGGCGCAGATATGGTACTCTGTGCCATTGATGACCCAGAAGCCTCGACACAGGTCTGGAAGCTCTGCAAGGAGAAGCGTATCCCTGCAAACATAGCTGATGTACCGTCGGAATGTGATTTTTACTTTGGTAGCGTCCATCGCGATGGGCCATTGCAGGTCATGGTCAGTACCAATGGAAACGGACCTAAATTGGCCAGCATTGTTCGCAAGAAGATAGCGGAAACCCTCCCCGACAATATGGGCGCAGCTATAGACAACGTTGGTAAGCTGCGGAGGAAGCTGAGGGATGTCGCCCCAAATCCTGACCAAGGCCCGAAACGAATGAAGTGGTACGCTTCTCCCAATCTCGCCATGCGCTCGGTACGATGACCTCCCCCCCGCTGATCGATAATATAGGATGTCTGGAGTTTGCGAGTCATGGAGCTTAGAGGATCTTGTTCAGATGGACGACAGTGACATGGACGGTCTTTTAGCCCATTACGCATCCGGGAAGATCCCGACCCTGAATGAAGTTCGGTCCTCTTGACCGAAACCACTCAGTAGAGACCTTGTAGCACTATAACTGATGATGGCTTTGTGAAACCTACGACAGCTCACACATGCCAGTTTATCAATGATCGCTCAGTGACTCAGACCTATCATTAACGGAAATGCTCCCATGATATTTGCTATTTTGTACATAGAATATAAGCCCATTGGAATGGACAGCCTTGAAGGGTAATAATTGAAAATGATGCAATGCTGTGCTAGGTCTACATTCAATACTCCTCCAGATTGATAAAAAGCCCTACGGTCCTGTAGGGGAGGATATCCAAGAAAAGCGCAAAACGAATAGTGAAAAGAACAACATCAACACAAAACACTCAAGCACTGGTCTTCTCGTCTAGTGTCCCCCGCTGTGTTTGCGGGAGTACTGACTCGACACAGAGTTCCTGTGACCAGACTGCAGAGATGTTTGGCCGACAGGTATACCTAGTTTCGCCTCACCGATTCGGCGCAGCAAGGATTGGAGCGAAATCCGAATCTCGGGGTTCAGGTCACGAGCCAAGAGATCAACGGCTAGTGGGTAGAAAGTCCCAATGTGCTTGTCGAAGCCGTCTGAAGGGAAGTTGGTGTAGCCTTCGAGGACATCCACAACAACTGGACGCCAGGCAACCACGTTACGATGCTGAGAGTCTTCATCAAGACGGACGAAGCTGCGAATTATATCCGCACAGAGTCTGGCGCAAAGATGACTGGTTAGTAACAAAGCCTAGATCACTTGATCGGTTGGAAAACTTACGGAATCAAAGCCGCCTCTGTTTCAGCACGGCTGCTTCTCCGCTCCTCTCTTTCATCGTGATACATTCGGAAGAGGATGTGGACATATGTGGCGGCGCTTCCACTCTCCTGTTTGAGGAGGTTGGGAGGTTGCTTCATGAACCCTTGACGCCAAAGCTGCATCCGCAATTCCTTGTCCTCGTTGAACTTCTTCGCGAATTGATAACTCTTCTTCAGCAAACCCATCAGGCGAAGCAGCTCGTGACTGGGAATCTGGGCGTAGACTTTATCATTTGAAAAAAGTTCATGGACAGTCTCGATCATGAGCAGCTGGAGCACACAATTGGTTATGATACGGTTGAAGAACCGGCGTCGAGCCACGGTAACTGCGGCCGGCTGTTGCTGGGCATCTGCCTGAGGTCTGTAATCCTCCAATGCAGGAGTTGAGGCCGCAGGCATGTCACCCTCTTCGTGCTCAGAGGTCACATTTTGCGTTCCGTTGGCCTTTTGCGCTTCAGCAACGTGTTCCTGATCGGATGCGGTTTCGGAAGACTCTTGTCCCGACTCTTCATTCGAGGCTGATTCTCCATTTGCAGGTTTCAGCGAGCCAGGCGATTTTGAAGAGATGGACGCAGCAGCAGTAAACAACTCGTAAGCTGTAGTCTTGCTGAATAGCTCGACAAAAGCGCCAACGACCTTCTTCCAGTGTTCCAGCTGGAATTTGGTAACGTTTTGCAAGATTAGCTGCTGCAAACAGTTGCTACCAATCCGTGCAATCGTATCATTCTCCTGACAGATGCACAAAGTGAGGAGCTCAAGAATCCGACCGAGCATGTACTCCAATGCGTCGAAGTAATGGGTGAACAGAGTAATCATGTTCCGCAGTGCCTGGATCATGGTGGTTGACAGCCACACAGAAAGCTCTTCATGATTGGGCACCTTAGACATTTCCGATTTGGACTGTAGCACCACGAAGATAGGATAGAGGAGCTGCCTCCAAAGTACATCCCAGAATTCTTGCGGGAATTCGCCGCCATGACGGATCAATGTCTCAAAGAGATACGTCAACGCTTGTGACCGGACTTCAAGATCGTCACCAGTCATCAGAACATCTTGGAATGCGATCAAGATCGGGTACCAAAACTGCTCCTCCTTGGACTGACGGGTGAGCTGCTGGGAAAGGTTGGTAGCATCTTCATGGAAGCCCTCCGGTGATGCACCACGGTGAGACAGCGGGCACTCTGGCGTCCTCAGCATTTTCGTAACAGTAGACTTCAAGGTCTCAATTGCCTGCAACGACTTCTTCTGGAACTTTGAGTTTTTGGAAAATTCAGTGAGGCAGACAACGAGGTCAGGGAAGGCACCCTGTGTTATAACGACTCCAAAGCGGGTGTTGTAGATCTGGGTCACATGCTCGAAAGCCATGTTGACAATGCCTTCATACGGCTCGCGAGCAGCAACCGTAAAGACGCCAAACATAGTTTTCCAACCTGAGCGAATATTGTCACCACGTGCCTGGATCATCTGGATGAGACAACGAAGAATCATATCCTTGACAGTGACAGCGTTGCTGTTCGCCATAACATGTTCAAATGGCTTGAGGAAGTCCTTTTGGAACTTGAAACCTGGCAGCTCCTCAATCTCCATAAAGCGCATCGAAAGTTGGCGAAGCGAATCAAGAGCGAAGAAGACCACTGTGGTATTTGAATGGCAACCCACATGATTGAAGTGCTGTCCGAGGACCTCCCAAATCTTTGACCATTCTATCCTGACTCTAGTCATGTTGTAGTAACTGATTTCTACCAGTTTCTGCAGGCTATACGTCCGAGGAGATTCAGTTTGCCCAGACGATTGGATCTCTTGCCAGCTGACCTCGCTGAGGGCCTTAATGAAATCGATGATGGCCTCGTGGGAGAGATTGGCCGTATTGGTGAAGATGCGGTCCACTCCCCTTATCATTTCTGCAGATCGACTCTCCATTGCAACCTCGGTACGGAAAGCTGTAGGTCCGTTGATAGATCGGGGGCGAGGCCGTCTTGATGCTTGCATCGACTTCCGAGATCCGTCCGTGGATGGCTGAGTCACGATGCGAGCTCGAGAGACATCAGGCAGGGAACCTTCATCCACACCATCGGTGAGGAGCTGAAGACGGTCGAGTTGACTGACGCAGGTGAGAATCTCTCTCCAAGAGCCCTTGAGATGGTTTCCTTCCGTAAGAGCGACGTCAAGCAAGGCTTTCAACGCCTCCACGTTCTTTGCTACCATCTCCCTGACGTTGCCCAAGTTGGTAAACTTGGCCAAGGCGGTCACAAACGCGACCCGCGGGGTCTCAAGTTCGAACGCGCAACTGATGCGTATAGCCAGCTTCATACCTCCCATGCAAAGTCGGATGATTTCGAGGTATTGGGTGTCCTGCATCGGAGCAGACAAGCCAGAAAGGAAAGACATCCAGGTGACATTGAACATGGAGCCAACATGTTGGACAGAGGTTGCCGGAATGAAGCGTGAGAGAGCTTCCTTGACAGCTGTTTTCCGCTGAGCCCGTATCAGACTACGATAAAGCTGCTCGGTCTTGTTTGCCATTTCCTCAGAAGCCTGCGCGTACTTTTCACCTTGGATATCGCGTCCCACCGTTGCAAAAACTTGTCCAGCCCTGGACGCGAGGCCACCGCTGGGTGCAGACGTCGGAATGCCAAGATTGGCAGCATGTTCTCTCTCAGTATCCAACACAATTTCATTGTTTGCGATTTCGTCGTAGATGGAACCAAGATAATCATCAGGCAAATCCTGGTTATCATTGATACCTCTGTTGTTCTTGATGAAATCTTCCTTCGTCATGCGGCGGCCCTTGATCTTGGCACTATGCTGATCGGTGTTGAGCATGATGACGGAGTAAGCAAGAACGTAGGCCGTATCCGCGTTGGCAAATGCGTTCGGATTCTGCGTTACGTAGCGCTCTGCAAACTTGAGCATGAAGCGATCGATCTTCTGTGCCTCTCCTGGCAAGCGGAAGTGCTGTAGGAATTGACGCAGAGCATCGACGAAGCGCCGCTTCGAAAACTCCATCATATCAACGAAAGCATGCATGATGGCGATATTCTCAGTCTCTCCTTCACCGAGATACTCACCAATCATGGCTTTATCCAACCGTTCATTCCGGAACAAGAACGCGGCAATGTCCTCCGGTGAACTGGAACGTACAAAGCCATCTTTGATAAAGAGCTTGATTCCCCGCTTGGCCTTGAAGTTGAACTGTTGGATGGCGTTGGTGAAGGCGATCTTTCTTTGCTTGACCTTCTCAATCTGGCTCGGGTCGTCCTCCGCCACAGGTGTGGTACTGCCGTCGGTGCTTTCGATCCTCGGAGAAGAAAGATAGGTAGCGGCAGTCGTTTCCATTGAATCCCTAGGATTGTCGATTGACTTCTGAGAAGAGGAGTTGAGAACTGGCGCCGCTTGATCGACCAAACGCTGGGAAGCCCAGTTGTCTAATGACTGAAGGATTTCCACCAGGCACTCGACCGCCTGATTCTTCAATATATAATCAGGGGGCACATGCTGTAGGTTTGGCTGATGAACATTGGCTACGCTAGCTGTGGTAAGGTTGGGCGGTAGGGTTCCCCGTTGATGCCAGTCGTTACCGAGAGTCGAAACCTTGACATGATGCTCCTGATACTGTTGTTGCTGGAAAGCGGTGACTGTGACTGGTATACTTGCATACCGTGACAACTGCTCAATAACACTGGAGAATGGTCAGAAGTCGGACTGCAAAATAATGAAATTATGACGTACTTTTGGAAAATATTTTCCAACGCGGTTCTGTCGCAGTCATAGTTGAGGTACATTTCCACCAAGGCGCGCGGATCGCCTGCCAATCGCTCCAAAATTTCCATGAAGTACTGTTTCTGGAAAAGGGGAGAATTGCGCTTTTCGAGAATAGTCAAGTATATCTCTTTTAGGAAAACCTCAAGTTCTTTCTGCTGGCTGTTAGATCGACTCGCGTGATAAGTCCATAAAGCATACTAACCTTCATCATCACTCTCATATCCTTCAGCATTAGCCAAAATATCTCACAGCAAACTTCGAACACTCTAGGCACAGAGCTAGACCCATTCCGACTCAGACTTAAGCACAAGTGAGGCCGGACAGCTTGTAGTAGTGTCATAGCATCCGGGCTGTTGGAGCTATTTTTTATGGTCAGGAGGGGAGATGTAAAGGTCACAACGTGATTGTTGATGAGGTAATGAATAAGGTGCAATGAGAGCAATTTTGACCTCATGTTCTGAGACTTGAGATCTTGCTGCTGATCATGGCTCAATATTTTGTGGCTCAGCTTGCAGAGTGCCCTGAAAACCAAAAATGCGTCTTTGACATATATTTCGTCTTCATCATCATCGGAAGTGCCGTCAATGTCCTCTGCTGAGGCTGCAGACATTGACCGAGCAGATCTCTGATTGCCTCTGGCACGAGTAACCATCGTGGGAGCATTATCGTTGACCGAGGTCACATCCTTGTTCGACTCGAAACTTTGCAACGTCAATTTCTCCACGGGCTCCTTCGTGACAGGCTGGTCGGAGGCTACGGCAGACGGGGCATCTGAGTCGTGATCATCTTCCGTTGCTTGTGGTGTCTCGGCTGTTTCTAGAGTCACAGCATCCGAAGAGCCTGTCTGCCCTTTCTCGCCATCGCGCAAACGTAGCTCTTTCAGGTCCAACCGTACCTGGACCCTATCAAATACAGTGCTGACCATCTGTGTCAAGGACCCTTGGGCGATTTGCTGATTCTGAGATGATTTGGAGTAGATGAAGATGTTGTAAATCTGGCGGACAGCCTTCAGGAGACCTGCTCCATGCACGACAATCTTGTCGTTCAGAACTGCCGCAAGGAGTGACTTTATGATTTGTTGTTGAATCTCAACGGGTGTGGCTTCGTTCTCAAAGCAGTCGCAGATCGCATCAATCGCTCGCTCAATCAGGGGTGGCTGTTCAGGGTTGGCCTCCGACTCTGGCGTCTTCCCATCTTGAGATGAAGGGAAGGCGAAGTATGAGTAGGTTATCAATTTTCCGATGCAATCGAGGGCCGTGACCTGTAGAGGAATACTGAAGGTTTTCGTGGCCAGCTGCAGAGGGCGGAATATAAGCTCAGGGTCAATGGGCTGGCCATCCGACTGTTTGACGTTTGCGAGGGCACTCTTCACAGCATCCTCAAGTTCTTTGCTTCTCCGCGCTTCCTTAGACGCGCCGATTGTATCCAACGCCGTCACAATAAAAACGGTAGAGCTGACCGTGACCGAGCGATGTGTTGCAAATGTAGCTGTCGTCGATCTTGAATCGGAGCGCATGCGTGAATCGGAGGGAATCTCATCTTGATGCGGGATGGAAGCAACATCTTGCTTGTCAGCCGAAGATTCCTCTTCAACGTTGACAGCCGGAACTACCGGTGATGTGTCCGCAGATTGGTCCTGTGTATCGGGCTTCGAGGTCGACTCAGGCTCGGTGTCAGCCTTGGGTTCTGATGATGCGACGGCTCCCTCCGGAGAGCTTGGGGCTTGATCCGGCGACTCTGTATTTTCAGCAGTTTTCAATTGTTCTGGTGATGAATGAGCCTCCTCTGATCCCTGAGCATCAATTCCTTGGCTATCCGAAACCTCCGGTAGTGCGGGTTTATCTCCGTCGACAGGTGATTCCGTATGCGCTAGGACATCGCCGGCAACATCCTCCTTGTTGTCTACCGGCGGCAGGGTTGTAGATGTTTGGGTTGGTGGCTCGTTCACAGAGCCATTCTCGACTTCCGCCATTTATGCAAGACTCCGTCCGGAGTGTTGGGAATTAGGCAGACGAGGGGTCCACATGGGACTGAAAAGCAACTAAAGGGGTATATGCAGGTCTGAGAGAAAGGGCCCTCTAGCCTCCTGGACGCTGGGGAACTGATGCGTGTTCACTCCGCGGACGGGGAGAATGTACGGCTGCCGCTAGGGGCCACACCCGCCGCGCTGACATAATCAGGCCACGGCGGCGCCCGGCGAGTCTATTCCGATCGCTCACCGGGAAGCTCAACAGAAAAGTTCCTGGAGCTGCAGTTCTCAACTCCTCTGATACGGGCCCTTTCATTCCGCCAGATACGTCTCCGGCTCCCCCTTTCATCCCATTTAATCCCCTCATTCCCGTCTCGGGTCTATTTCTCTATCACATATAGCATTTGGGCGCCATGGTTGCTTCTGCTGTCCGGATGCGCGCTCCCAGCGCCATGTTCCTCTCCAAAGGCGCCCTCTCCCTGAAGCGGCCGCAAACTGTTCACAGATTCAAGGACATCGCTCAGTATGTCGCACCACCTCGTTGAAGACCACCTGGCTGTCTACGAAGCATGCTAATCATACTTGTGTGTCTTTTCAGATCTCAATTGCCTTCCCTGTCCGCCCTTTCCCGTTTTTATGCCTCCAAGTGTATGCCGTTATTCTTGTCGCCTTTGATTTGTGGATGATCGGATTTTAACATGTTGGATCTGCAGCCTTCCCTCCCCACACTGTCATCAGCATGCCGGCCTTGTCGCCGACCATGTCCGCCGGAAACATTGGAGCTTGGCAGAAGAAGGCCGGTGATTCCCTGCAGCCCGGTGATGTCCTGGTAGAGATCGAGACCGATAAGGCCCAGATGGACTTTGAGTTCCAGGAAGAGGGTGTTCTGGCCAAGGTTCTTAAGGAGACTGGCGAGAAGGACGTCTCTGTCGGTTCTGTATGTGATAACTCTTCTGCTCTGTTTTTGGCCCCCACCGAATCCTTTGCTGACCGCTATTGCATTAGCCTATCGCTGTTTTGGTTGAGGAAGGTGTCGATGTTGCCGCTTTCGAGGCTTTCAGCCTGGCGGATGCCGGTGGTGAGAAGGCTGCTCCTGCTGCTGAGGAGAGCAAGCAGGAGTCCAAGGCCGCTGAGGCTGCCCCGGCTTCTGAGCCTGCCCCTGCTGCCGTGGAGCCTGAGACTTCCGGCGAGAAACTCCAGCCCAGTCTGGACCGTGAGCCTTCCATCAGCCCTGCTGCCAAGGCCCTGGCTTTGGAGAAGGGTGTGCCGATCAAGGCTCTCAAGGGTACCGGCCGTGGTGGCCAGATCACTAAGGAGGACGTTGAGAAGTACAAGCCCAGTGCTTCTGCCGGCCCTACCTACGAAGACATCCCCCTGACCTCCATGCGCAAGACCATTGCTAGCCGCCTCCAGCAGTCCGTGCGCGAGAACCCTCACTTCTACGTCTCCACCACTCTGTCTGTGAGCAAGCTCCTCAAGCTTCGCCAGGCTCTGAACGCTTCCTCCGAGGGCAAGTACAAGCTTTCCGTCAACGACTTCCTCGTCAAGGCCTGCGGTGTCGCCCTCATGAAGGTCCCCACCGTCAACTCCAGCTGGCATGAGGAGAACGGCCAGACCGTCATCCGTCAGCACAAGACCGTCGACGTCAGTGTTGCCGTCTCTACCGCCAATGGCCTCATCACCCCCATCGTCAAGAGCGTTGAGGGCCGTGGTCTGTCCAGCATCTCCAACCAGATTAAGGACCTGGGCAAGCGCGCCCGCGACAACAAGCTCAAGCCCGAGGAGTACCAGGGTGGCACTTTCACCATCAGCAACATGGGTATGAACCCTGCTGTTGAGCGCTTCGCCGCCGTCATCAACCCCCCTCAGGCCGGTATCCTGGCTGTTGGCACCATCCGCAAGGTTGCCGTCCCCGTCGAGACTGAGGAGGGCACCTCCGTTGAGTGGGATGACCAGATCATCGTCACTGGTAGCTTCGACCACCGTGTCGTCGACGGTATTGTCGGTGCTGAGTGGATCAAGGAGCTGAAGAAGGTTGTTGAGAACCCCCTCGAGCTTCTTTTGTAAGCTCCTCCCTACACTGTGGAACCCCGACCGGCGCAGTATACTAGCTATCTACGATCGGAGTTTCTTTTGGCCTTGTTGTAATATGTATTAAAATCATTGAACGTTTCCTCCTTTCACGACCGTCACGGTCTGTCAAGTACAGCCTAGATATTCTCAATGCATTTCCTATGTTCCGTACTTCCATGATGTTAAGCCTTGCAGGATGTTTCGGACCATGTTATTGGCCGCACAGGTTGTACCTGATACTTGAACCAGCCCCTTTCGATAGATGCAACAACCTGTCTAGATTTAGGCCGTGCAAAGCAGTAATTGGGTAGATCCATCAGGAACAACTTAAAAGGGTTGCGTAGCCGCCAGTGCGTTGCGTCCGGCACGAGAGTCTTGGCGGTGCTCATAGCCTGGGCCAACCTTCGCCAGGGAATCTATGACGTGATGTCATTCCTCTCGGACGGTTCTCGTGTCCATAAATACTCGAGGTTCGCATCCCCTGAAACCTACCTCGATACTTTCCCGTGCGTCAGCCTATTACATCTTATTTTATCGTCACTTGCATCCGAATCTACTTGTGCGTTTGTTTGGCCCTTCCTGGAGGTTGCTAAGTACTCTTGGTCTTGGCATACTCCCACTTTAGATGCGCCGACTGATGACGTCCTAGATCACATATTCCTCTCAAGTCACACGACTCACTTATTCATCATGTCTTACGCAGAAGCTGCTGCCAAAGGTCCCAAGCAATCCGCAGAGGAGGTATGTCTACAGTCGCTTCCCCGCCTAGCGTCTACTTCTGGTGTTATACCATCTAGATCATGCAGATCGCTAACAGTATGGACAGGCGTAAGTCAACAACAACAACACAGAACAAATGACCCTTTCATACAGCTAACAGCCATGTAGTCGTGCCCCCAGCGTTGGTGGAGTGTACCGCGACGAAGCCGAGAGCACCGCTTCCCTGGTCGACGTCGACTCGCCGCATGTACAGGCTGTGGATCCCGATTTCCTGAAGCAGGACGTGCAGACCACCACCCAGGCTGAGCGGATAGAGCGAGAAGAAGAGGAGCGGGAAGCCTACGAAGAACGGAAAGCGAAGAGCAAGGCTAAGGCTAAAGCCAAGGCGAAGGCTGAATCGGCTCGCAGCAACGCGCATAACCCTGTCTATCTCGGAAATGCTGTGATTCTGGCCTTGACTGGCGCTGGTCTGGGGTATGGAGCATACCGGAAGCATGCTGCTGGGCAGCTTTCGTGGGAAGTGATTGGATGGGCCTCTGGCGCTATTGGTGCTTTTGGTGCCGTGGACTACTTTGTTAGCAAGTGAGTATTCGTCTGAAGTGCATGTGCGATGATGGCGTTTGCTAATGTGGGGACGTCCCTTAGATGGCTTCTGCAGAACAAGTACCCTCCGAAATAAGGCTTGAAGTTGAAACGGAGCACTTCGTGGAGTCGTGATATCCCAGTGTCAATTCCGCGGTCTATTACTTTCTTACTGTTTGTTGTACTCCTTTAGGGTACATGAGGCGTTTGTGCAGTCTTTGGGCGTCATAGTGTGTTTGTTACTAGTATATCCCTAATGGATTGATCTCCTCTTAGCACAGCAGCCGTCGTAAGAATGAGGGCAGGATGTATTCTGCGGTAATCGCAAAGGCGAAGACATTGGACCACGCGGGGTAGACAATAGCAAAAGAAAAAGAAAAAGAAAAATCGAATGACGTAGACTGTAGAGTCGAGAGCTTTTAGTCACATCTCTAGCTTCCTGCATGGACTTACTTTTGCTCGGACCGAGCTGAAGCGGGTCAGGCCGCACGAATGGCTGCAGTGGCAGGGGCGGTCAGCGCCGTCAGAATCGTGGCCTCTGCAAGAACATGTGGCCTTGGCCAGCATCATTGTTAGCCTGATATAGAAGGTCTCTCCTGACACGTCGCTATTTCTTGGTGCCAACTCCTAAACATTCTGCAGACTTACTCACAGTTTTTGTACTCTTGGGAAGAAATAAGCACCTGCAAACCCAACCTATACCTCTCCTTTTGCGGCCGGCATTGTATACAGCGCACTCACCCGATAGGGTACACCGCACAAAATGGTAAGTCGTCTACGACCTCAAGATGTGAAGCCCCAATTTGAGGGATTATCCATATGTCTGATGGGAGCTTACATTGTCTATTGCTCAGAATTCCCTCTTCAATTCCGCCCTCAAGCAGTCATCTGCTATCCGTCGTGACCTGGACACATTCTCCCAATCGCCAGCTACCTCATCTGCCGCACTACAAGGTATGTTTCGGAACTGGTGCTTATAGTGGCTCCACTTCGCAACAGAGGGAGCTAAGCTCATGTACACTATAGGCCAAATCGCTGCTTCGCTAGCATCGCTATCACGCACTGTTGACGACTACTCTGCCCTGTCCAAGAAGGAATTGATCCCGGAGAAGCAAGAGAAAGCATTCGAACGAGTCAAGAATTTCCGATCCGAACTGGCAGATTACCGGCAACATTTTGATCGACTACGGAAAGAACGGGAGGAAGCTGTAAGGATACCACTCGCATCTTCGAGCAGCGTTGAGAGTTATTGTCGCTGACCGTGGTTTGTCTACAGCAATCCGTCACCAACCGCAACGAGCTTCTCGGTCGACGCCCTCATCACACAGCTACACCGGAGAACCCATATGCCCAATCATCCCTCCCTCAGTCCTCTGCGTTCGCTCCTTCCTCATCACGATCGGGACTCAGCTTTGGAGCTTCGCCGGCCGACTACAACCGGGAAACACATGCGCTTCGCGAACAAAGCTTCCTAGCGAGCACCAACACCCAGATTGACGAGTTTCTTGATCGGGGTCGTGCTGTGCTTGCGGATTTGGGACAGCAGCGTGAAGTGCTGAAAGGCACGCAGCGTCGACTCTACAGCGTTGCGAACACACTGGGCGTCAGCGGCGACACAATCCGCAGGGTTGAGCGCCGCGCAAGACAAGACAAGTGGATCTTCTGGGGCGGAGTACTGCTATTCTTCCTGTTCTGCTGGGCTGTCCTGCACTTCTTGCGATAATTGAGGTACATATTTCTTTCCATTCCCCCTTATATTGTTTTTTGCTTTTACCCCCTTACCTTTCTGGGACTATTGTGATTTGGTGCTTGGGTTGTCTTACAAGCGCAGGCGTTTGGAGCGCATTGGCAGGGGAACTTATTGCGCATTATTGTATGTACTTGTGTGTGTGTGTGTGGATGTGGTGATGGCTAGTAGTCTATACGTAGTCCCTGCAGTAGGACTGATTAGATTTGCTGTCCCCGTGCGCAATGGGAATTGGTTTGAGTGTGGAGTAACCCTGAAGTAGTGCGCCGTAGACAAGGAAGACGGACGGGTGGATGGAACTGTTGGGGGGGACGTGGCCATCGGTTAAATTAGGGACCATGGAGCAGATCCCATAGCAACGTGGCAATGAAAGCAATTGTCTACAGAGTAGAGAAGTTAATTCCATTGAATAAAGTCAAAAAAGACTACCCATTGGCATCGGAGAACCATTGACGACCAGCATATGAAGTGAGGGTCGGTAGGACGGAACCGGAGCAAGTTGCCAGGCAAGTGGACAGACAAGGCAAGCACGACAAGATGATCCGATGGCTGCCGTGGGGATCGGAAACGGAGCCATTTAGCCGCCCCAAAATCCTTCGCGCTCACCGGCCACCGACGGCTTCTCCCTTCTTCTCCTTCTTCTCTCTCCTCCTTCCTCTCCATCGCAATTGTTTCTCTTCTTTTCTCCCCATCTCCCCATCCTTCTTCCAGATAGATCTACCTTTAGTCTATCCTTCACAGTCAAGATGTTCGCTGCTCGTCAGTCCCTCAACCTCCTCCAGAAGCGTAGCTTCTCCGCTTCTGCCAGCCAGGTGTGTAGTCCAAATAAAAAAAACATTGCCTCGGAGCTCTCTTGTCCACTTGCTAACCATCGCAATTTCCATCTCAGGCTTCCAAGGTTGCCGTTCTCGGTGCCGCCGGTGGCATTGGCCAGCCCCTGTCCCTGCTCATGAAGCTCAACCCCCTTGTCACTGACCTCGCCCTCTACGACATCCGCGGTGGACCTGGTACGTCGCACAGCTTCTCCCTTCCCTCAACTCTGAAACGCCCGTCCGATCATCGGAGTCGACTAACAGAATCCTCAAACAGGTGTCGCTGCCGATGTCAGCCACGTCAACACCAACAGCACCGTTAAGGGCTACGAGCCTACCCCCTCTGGCCTCCGTGATGCTCTCAAGGGCTCCGAGGTTGTCCTCATCCCTGCCGGTGTTCCCCGCAAGCCCGGCATGACCCGTGATGGTATGCGCTGGACCACTTCAAAACGAGGCAGAGCACGAGCGTCAGACTAATCTCTCCCATTATATAGACCTGTTCAACACCAACGCCTCCATTGTCCGCGACCTCGCCAAGGCCGCCGCTGAGGCTGCTCCCGAGGCTAACATCCTCGTCATCTCCAACCCCGTACGTTGTTCTCAAATCACCACCAAAATTCTCGAACCTTGCACTAATTAGGTACCCTCCAGGTCAACTCTACCGTCCCCATCGTTGCCGAGGTCTACAAGTCCAAGGGTGTCTACAACCCCAAGCGCCTCTTCGGTGTCACCACCCTGGACGTTGTCCGTGCTTCCCGCTTCATCTCCCAGGTCAAGGGCACCAGCCCCGCCAACGAGAACGTCACCGTCATCGGTGGCCACTCCGGTGTGACCATCGTTCCCCTCCTCTCCCAGTCCAACCACCCCGACATCTCCGGCACCGTCCGTGACGAGCTGGTCAACCGCATCCAGTTCGGTGGTGACGAGGTCGTCAAGGCCAAGGACGGTGCTGGTTCCGCCACCCTCTCCATGGCCATGGCCGGTGCTCGCTTCGCCGACTCCCTCCTCAAGGCCGCCAACGGCGAGAAGGGCATCGTCGAGCCCACCTTCGTTGAGAGCCCTCTCTTCAAGGACCAGGGTGTTGACTTCTTCGCCTCCAAGGTCGAGCTCGGCCCCAACGGTGTTGAGAAGATCCACGAGGTCGGCCCCGTCAACGAGTACGAGCAGGGTCTCATCCAGACCGCCCTCGGTGACCTCAAGAAGAACATCCAGAAGGGTGTTGACTTCGTCAAGGCCAACCCTTAAATGGTTTTTGGACTTGCTTGAAGAAGGAACAAAATTGCAATACCTCTCTGCAGCCGCTTTCCTCCCTGTATAACAGTCTTGTGATAATCCATACCCACTTCCCGCCCCCTATGCACATCCCCATCTCGCATGTGGCTTTTATATCGGAGGAAATGTAGCTGCGGAAACTCGCATAGCAATGAGTTTTTGAAGAGCCTGGGTTTGCCAGGGGAGATGGACATGAACGTGTATTTCCTATAAATAAGAAAATCTAATGATTCAATGACTAGTATTGTAGCCTTTCATCGGTACCTGTAGGATTCAGAACTGCACGCTGGTCTACTTACTACCTACCGCGGTCAACAATTGCCTCGGCTGCACGAAGAAAATCGGACCCGTGGCTAAAACTCAAATCACCGAGTCAACAACCAATTAGTCCGCGACAGTCCCAACCAAACCATGAATTCCGAACCGATCTTTACACAAATACCAGCTCGTGACGAATCTCCCACAAACAAAAGTTACAAACTGAATAATGAAAAGACAATAGAGGATCATAAGCGACAAAATCCAGTACTTATAGTAAATATATATATTTATAGTATGGACTATGCATGTATCTACCTATCTACCTATCTACCTATCTACCTATCATGGAGCATTAATTATCAATGATGAATGACTGGGATCGGGTTTGATTTATCGGTAAGTAGTAAGTTTTAGATCATAGCTGCAAAGCACTACTAGCTGTCATTTGAGACGGGGTTATATCGATAGACGAGTCTAGTTGAGTGCGGCTTTAGGAGTATGATTATAATAATAGGAAGTAGGAGCAGGAGAACAAGTTTGAGGTGTGAATTGTGCATTGTATCTTATTCTGGAACTTTCAGATTACGATGATAGTTGATTTTTAGTAGACTGCTAAATGCAGTGGTAATGCACTTGCAGCTGGCCGGTTAGGTATTTGATGGTGGATGATAAATACTATACTGTCTTGATGGTTCTAGTATGATAGGAAATAGATAGGACAGTCAAGTAAGAGTGGGGTATTTCGTTTCTCATTGTATTCCAGAATGTTCACTAGTAATAGATGTTATCTTGTCATCATCCTTGTCATCATCATCAGGGGTCGTCGACAGCGGCAAGCGCAGGTGTAGGTGTCAAAAAATCAACATCAACAGGAATAAAACAACGCATAGAAGACAGATCTTTGGCAGTGCGCGACACGCAAATAAAACCTTGCTTCATACTAAGGGGTAGTTCGGTCAAATTGCAAACAGAAAAGACGAAGAATGGAAAAATGGGGATAGATCATAGTCTTCGCTCGAATGAATACAGCGATACGATAATGCAAGCCAGAAGGAAAATGACTAGGTATAACTTCTCATAGCATCGAGGTATCCTGACCCCCCGCGAAGGTCGCGGTCGAAGGTTTCGGCGACCTCCAGGACACGTCGGATGTGTTCCATGGATAGAGGGTTTTGCTCGTTAACAGCCAATGCTTGGGCTGTGCGGACGGAGTTTTTGATCTAAGAACAGGTGAGTTAGTATCCGTACACGTTCGCGTAGGCTAAATGGAGGTCTTACCTGACGCCCGTTGAGGTTATGACGAGCTAATAGATCAAAGTCCTTTTCTGTGAACGTGGCGGTCTCCACGCCCTCTTTGGCCTGCACCCGCTCCAAGAACATCTTCCAGACGCTTCGCTTCGCTTTCGTGGTGAGTTCACCGTAGCGCAGAGCGACGTGGATGCGGGATTGGAAGGCGTCATCAAATGTCTCGACGCGGTTGGTGGTCAGGAAGAGAATACCCTGGAAGTACTCCAGCAACCGCAGGAAGATACTGACTAGGGCATTGCGGTGAATGTCCTGGATGGTGCGCTTCTCCAGGAAAATGTCGGCTTCATCGAGCAGCAGAACGGCGCCCCAGGAATGTGCGATGTCAAGGATCTTGTTCAGCTCTGCTTCAAGGGTGCGCGGATCGGTGCCCAGCTCACCCGCGCTCACCATGTAGAGCGGGCGTTTGAGGAGTTCTGCGATGCCTTCGGCAGTAAGGGTTTTACCAGTACCGGGAGGTCCGTGGAGCACGGCCACGAGACCCTTGCCCTTGCCTTGGATGACATCGTCGATGTTCTGGGCCGCGCGGAAGGTGTGCGATTCGACCAATGCCTTGACGATGGACTTCTGATTGTCGGGGAGGACCAGTGAATCAAAGGCATCTTCATTCCATTCAATCTCACTGATGCCCGAGATGCTGAATTCAAGCCACAGCTTTTCACTGAAGGCGAAGCCGAGTACTACGGGGCTCGCGATGAGCAGTTCCTCTTCGGTGAATTCGCGGTCGGAGGGGTCCGCAACTTCGTCCATGTTCTCCTTGACGATTTCATTGCCGTTCTCATCCAGCTCGACCTCGACGACGTGCGGCTTGCCCTCCTTGTCCCGTACCACTTTGAATAGGAGTTGAGGGGTGTCTGAGTCGCGCGGTTGCCCGTAGGTTTGTTCTGATTCTGAGTCGGACAGGATACAGCAGCACCCATTGTTGCTGCCATCATCGTCGGAGCCGTCAAGGTAGTCTGGGTCCTTGGGACGGACGGTGCTAATGGGGTAGTTGGGATTGATGCGCCGGTGGATGGCGGGATCAACCATGACACGGCCATTGATGTTGACCTTGATGACGGACCGCTTCTTTTTGTAGAACGCCATACCCTTGTGATACCGGTAGTTCATGCCTCGCAGCGCCACGAATTTCTTACCTCGCTCGATCAGCTTGGCCTTGACACTTTCGGCTTCGCGATGGTACTTGAGCGGATAACAGCTAAGACTGGTGATTTTGCGGGCACCCTTGAAGGACTCCACCTCGGCGGCCATGGTTCCCATACCGAAAGCTTTGCCATCATACTCGAGGTATCGACCCTCGATGCTGTACCATTGACCCTTCATGAAGGAGGACTCCTTGGTGGCGTACTCGATCTTGAAGGCACGGGGCTCATCCTGGTTTCCGTAGGTAGAGGAGTAGGCGACGGTGTTGGGCTTGAAGATGGCCCATAGGAGATCAAAGGTGATCATGCTGGAGTCCAACAGAGGGTAGAGAGTCTTTTTGGTTTCCGCATAGTCGGTGTCCAGATACTTGACGAGCACCTTGAGATGTGATGCTTTGATTTCGGCGAGCTTGCGGGCTTTCTTCTTCTTTTCGGTCTTGGCCAGCTGCCGGAGATCTTTCATGTACTGCCGCGTCTCCTCAAGGTAGAGGAAGAGCATGTTGGGATCGACAACCGCCGTCTCTTGCACCAAGCTGACGCCCTTGACTCCATCCATGACCTTGGACAGCGCATCGCGCAGGTACTTGCTCTTGAGGTCTACTACAGTTTCCAGATACTTGTTGTCCCAGTCGAACTTGCGGCGCACGGTGAAGAGGTATTGGTCCCACTCGTTTGCATCGGGGTCGTCGACCGTCTCCGTGAGCTTGAAGTTGTGAATTGTATTGTCCCACACTGTAGAATTATGTGTTAGCTAGATCAAGAGGAAAGATGAAGGAAGACGCACGCTGATCTACACGCTTAAAGGCAATCTTCGAGGCAGCCTTCTTGCGTCCCTTGGACTTTTGCGAGCTCCCTTTCTGGCCGTCAGTGTTACCGTCACCCGAGCCACGCCTGCCTCGGCCTTTGCGACGCCCATCGGCCAACTTGACTCGCAAGGAAGCCAACTTTTGCTTGGCTAACAGAAGGGCGAGCTCGTCGGCGTCGGCATCCTCGTCCGCATCGTCATCGTCGTCTTGTTGCTCTTCGGAAGAGTCATCCTTGGAGCGCGACTTCTTGGTCTTCTTCGCCTTGAGCTTGGCGACCAGCTTCTTCAGGGTCTTTTCATCAAGAGACGAATCGGAGTCGCTACTATCCTCGAGATCGGAATCGGATTCCGATTCAGTGGGGTGCGACCGGCTCTTCTTCTTACGGCTCACACTTTTCAGCGATTTCTTGATCTTGTTCTTGGCCCGGCGGCGACGCTGTTTGCGATCCGACTCCGCGTCGGACTCCGAGGCCGACTGAGCGTCTTCGTCGTCGGAGGTAGATTCCGCGCTGGATTCCTCGGAGGAGGAATTTAGTTCCGACGAGCTGTCATCGCTGGGGGTGACAATGGAAGCGGCCTTGCGGTGAGACTTTTTCTTTTTCGAGCGGTTGGGATCCTGGTCTTTTGCCGCATGCTTGGAACACACGGACTTTTTGGGAACGGGATCGGATACAGAGACGGGAGCTTTGGGGTCGGACTTGACTGGGGGAGCATCGACGGGCGGGTCGGCGTCAAGCTTGGATTCGGGGGAGGAGGAGACGGGGCCACTAGCGTCGGCCATGGTGGTACCAGTCACAGCGGTCGTAGTACTGCTGGAGTCGCTGGTGGTGGCAGGGAGTGGAGCTGAGCCAGGGACCGGGACGGGCACAGGCCCACTGTTGTTGGAGCTTGGGTCGCGCTGAGTCTCGAGCTCAGTTTGCTGGGAGGTGGATTGGGAATCAGTGGGGATGGTCATGGCCAGTGAGTAGAGAAGCTGGGAATATATGGAGGGAATATATGAAGTGATGAAGAGAATGCAGAAGAAGGGAAGGAAGGAAGTAAAATAGGCGAAGATGGATGGATGAACAGTAGTAGTGATATGGGGTAGATGGGAGAGAGTGGATGAGGGTAGTTGGTGGATGGGAAGAAGTTTGGGGGGAGAATGTCGTGGATGGGGAAATTGGGGAGAAAGAGAGAGAGAGAGAGGATGAGAGGATGAGGAGAGAGACAGACTCACATACTCGGATGCCTAAGAAATAAAAAGTATCCTCGCTTGCAAGAGCGCCTTGCGTGTTGGCCCAGCAGATGGCGGTGTGTGCTGCCTGACCACCCAAGATGAGAGAGAGAGAGAGGAAGAAGAAGTAGTAGTAGTAGAAGAAGAAGAAGGGAAGAGAAAAGAAGGGAAGTGAACAAGAGCAAACAAAAAGAACAAAAGTAATTAAATAAATAAATAACCCCAACGAGTGAGGCGATTGATTGTGACTGACTTAAGAGCAATGATGCCTGTTCACAGTTGCTCTCTGCCTGCTGCATGAATAAATACAGTAAAACTAAGTACTTACACCCTAAAGAAAGAAACTCGCCGGATTGGGGAAGAGGCTGGGATAGCTTCAGAAACTGGCAGTGCCAATAAGAATATGCAAATCTCACCGGGTCAGCAAATGCATCAGGATTGGATTGTCACCCTGTTAGGCGCTTGGGAAAAAGTGGCACAGACTTCCGAACCCCCAAACCCAAACAGCCATTCAGCCGCAGGATCATCAACTGGATCATCTCTCGCAGAAGTCTTAGAGGGAGAGCCATCCCCGGTCACCGACATTTTGCCAACGTGCGTGTGTCTCACATGCGCTGTCAGTGCAGTTTCCAGTCACGCTTGGGGATGGAAAGTTGATCCCGGAAGTATTTATTCAGATAGGATGATCATCCAGATGGAATACTACTAGTAATTAGTAAATAGTCACGGAATAACAGGCAGAAGTAGGCAGTGACATACTACTCTACTAAAGTTAGAATGAGGAGTCATACTGACCCTTCATGAACACTGACAGGCAAGCCTGGCTCGTATTCGTCCGAGTTCTGACCAACTGATATTCTCCGTTCCAGTTCCAGATCCCTGTCTGCCTGCAGCTGAACCAGGTGAAGAATCCCGACTCCATTGCAATGTCCCGGATGGACATCCCGCGGCAAAGTACCCCGGCTCCGTACTTTTGTACCGTCAACCCTAAGCAACATCCATGTCTTTCAACCGAGTTTGAGATCTCGAATTAAGATGCTTACTCGCATTCCACATCAACTATATGTTCCTACTACTAATAAGAGGGTAGACATTACAGATCTGTAACCAACAATAGACAGTGAATACTCTATAGCCAATAGATTCATCGGTCAGTAGGAGACTTACAACACCATTTGTAGTATGCAAATATGTGGATGATTCCGATATCTCGAGATACCCGGATTATGCCTACACAAGCCAGTTATTTTGACATATCTAGATCTACACAAATCAACTTCAATTGTCATCTATGCCTAGCTAGCATCATTGCTTTCAAGCGTAGCGCTCCATACATAGTATACATTTCACTCCCATCTGAGTTCTTATGCTATACAAGTAATATAGTACACTGCACTCACCTCTTCATCATATAAAACACAAATACTCCTAGTATAGACTACTAAATAAGTCCACCATCCTTACCAACAATCCACACCCAAACATCTACCCCCCTTATCCCCAATACATAGACCACAACACTCCCCAAACCCTGGGTAGTTCCTACCAAACACAAGCATAGTAACCAACCACCCATAGCAACCCAACAACCCAATCTAGCTAATCCACAACTACAATTCACTGAACAAGAACAGAACAGAGAAATCAAAACCACTTCACTGTCACAGCAACACTAACACAATACACTTCTATGTTATTCCTCCCCTTCTGCCACTCTCACCTTCCCATTCCCATTTCCACCTCACCTCCCTCATCCTTCTACATACCATCCTATCAGATCACCACATCACCACTACCACAAATACTAAGACATGAACAAGATGTCCACCACCTTCACCCCAGTCAACACTAACCCCGGTCACAAGAACAACACTGCTCCAAAGACCCCTACCAAGAAAACCAACGTGGCAATGGTAAGTACTATACTCTACCACCACACATACACCTACCCACAACCAAACCATATATACACACAACTAACTAAGATAACCCAACCCATACTAGACCCCCAAAACCCCAACTCCCAACACCAAAAATCGCCTCACCCCATCCTCTCCCACCACCAACACCACCAGTCCCAACAACAAACGCACTAAAGCTCGCACCCCCCTCCCACCCATCCCAACGACCCTCGCCTCCGCCAGCGCCTCCGATCTCCTCATCCTCCGTCTTCGGGACGAGTCCTCCACCCCCTGGACGGCCATCAACCAGGCATGGACGGACTTGACGGGGATCAGTGTGGGCGGGTCGACCCTCCGAGCGAGGTATAATACCATGAAGAAGAATTTTGTGGTCGTGGATCCGGGTGATGTATTTCCCCGACCTTCATTATCCATTCCACTTGTGTAATTTTTCTGGGGGATGTGTTTGGTGTGTGGTGTAATGGGGGCTAATGTGTATCTGTGATAGGAAGCAAAGATCCTCCAAGCTAAGAAAGACATCGAGGGACGATTGGAGACGGAGAAGTGGAGATTGATTGCTGAGGAGGTGGGAAAGGCTGGTGGGGGAACTTATCCTGGGGAGTGTTTGAGGAAGTATGTGAGGGAGATGGAGAAGGGGATGAAGGGGGGTGCTGCTGTTGCTACTGCTGCTGCTAATGGTGGTGATCAGGGTGAGGAGGATGTTGATGATGATGACGATGTGAAGATGGAGGCTGAGGAGGATTAGCTGAGTTATGGCGGGCTACGGCTTTGTGTTCTTCTGCTGTTGAGCTTGCTGGTGGGTATTGGGAAGTCATAAAGTGACAGACAGACATACAGCTGGCATTCATTCAAGATAAGGATAGTCAATCGATGCTAGTTTACTCCAATTCTCTGTACTCGAGGTATCATAATCAAAATGAAAGTAAAAGAAATCACAACACACTTAATTCCCGACGCCCGTAATCCTCCATCCCATCCCTCATATAGTCATCACTGTCTGTGCGGGCTACGATCGCCGGCCGGATCTTCGTCCCTACGAACCCACGCCGGTCTCGTCCCGTGCGTCCGCGGCCTAGCCAGTTATGCTTCAGCTCCTTGCTCAGGAGCTCGATCTGCTCTTGTGCTCGATCGCCGGTTTGCACGCTGGCCAAGACGCTGACGCACTGGAGCATCCGTCCCACCGTCTCGGTGATGATGTGTGACGTGTCTGTGTGCGAGGACCGGTGGATGATACTGGGCCGTTGCGTCGGTGACGAGAATGACTGGAAGATCAGCTGGTCCGGGTTGGACGTGTTGGACGCCGCCCGGCTGCGGTTACAGTCTAGTGAGTCAGACGAGTAGCTGTTCGCGGCGTTGAGGAGCGTCGACGACTGTGAGCTGTAGCTGCCGAACCCGCCGTCCAGCGAGGCCGATGTCGTCGGCCGTGCGCTGTTGCTGCTGCTCTTGGTCGTGACGCTCAGCGCTGCCGTGCCGAGCTTGATGCTGTCTAGACTCAAACGGGAGAAGGTTGCCTTTAGCACGTCATACCGGTAGAGGATGACCATGTCGCGGAAGGCAATCAGAACGAGATTGCGCACGTCCAGATCGCAGCCGGGGTACTCGCCGTTGAACGTGGATGACCAGAACTCACTGGCTTCTCGGCGGTTCATGACGGACCCGCATCCCTTGAACTCAAGGTCTAGGGGCAGAAAAACAGCCTGGATGAAGGGCAGGATCGTGCCAAACACGAGCATCCACACTTGTACCAGATGAGGGACCAGCTTCTCATCGGGGATGCCGTTCAGCGTATGGTTCAAAGATGCACATCCTGTCTCTAATAGCTCGCGCAAGTCGTCTACCACTGCGGTGGGCATACGTTTCTGGACGCAACGCTGAATATGGATGAGGACCAGCTTATTGAGATCCTCGATGGCGATACGAACATCCTCTCCGTCGAAGATAACCATAAGCTTGGCCTTGAGAAAGTCCCACGCATCTTCCGGCGTCATGTTATTCAGTCCAAAGCCCTGGAGGGTCTCTCGAAGAGCTGCCTCTGCCAGAACTCCCGTGGAGCTGCCCAGCGACGATGGCCCTGCAAACGTCCCCGGCGCAGGTCCCGACGAGTTAGCCACCCAATCCAGCTGTTCCGACTCTAACGCCTTCTCTTCCTTCTTCTTATCTCGTAACCCGTGGAGCAGGTCCAAGCCGCTCACGCTTTTCCCAAACGTAGTCGTGACCGCACCAGGCGAAGCCGGGGTAAAAGAATACAGCGACTGAGGGGCATTCGGATCCGAAGGTTTCGAGTTACTCGACGCCGACGACAGCGGCAGGTTGTAATGATCATCTCGGTCTTTCAGCTTCAACTTCTGCCGCGACAAGAAGTGATGCTTGTGCTTATCCTTATCCTTCTCTTTCTCCTTCTCACTCCCCGTCGGCTTGTCGGCTGGAACCACCGTACTTGCCGACGCATTCGACAAGTTGTAGAGTGACGAATTATTCGAGGGAAACGTATCAGCCAAGCTCGTCGTCGACGCACTCACGATCCGCGATAATCCTCCGCTCGGAAACCCCATCTTACTCGGCGACGGTAGGCCCCGGTCCTTGCTGATCCCGTCCTTATCCCGACTTATCCCAATATGTTTCGGTTTCGAGAACAGTTTCATCTTCGATTTCTCGCCCTTGTGCTTGTGCTCCCGCTCTACGGGCGGCTCCAGCCCGGGCGGCTGCAGCGCTGGATTCCGGGGAAACACCACATTAGCCGCCGTCGTTGCGGCATGTGTATTCCCATTTGTAGACCCACTCTGATAAGATGCCCCGGATGCACTTCCCGCGCTTGTTGGGGGCGCAAACAACGGCGCTGGAGGCGGCGGGGGCGGAGGGGAAGCGCTCCCGCCTCGTCGGGACCGAGAACCGTCCTCTGACACACCCCGCACTGGCGGAGGACGCTTGGGAGGATTCTGAGGAGCGGTCTGCTGTTGCTGGAGCATAGCCGCCTGGGCTGCGATTCTGGAAGCGGAGATGGTAGCCTCGGAGGAGGACGCCGTGGGGAGAGACGGTTCGAAGAAGCCCTGCGAGTGGTGACGAGAGCGTCTCTGCAGTTCCGGCGGGCCACCACGACCCGACGGTTTCCTGCTCAGGATCTCACCATGAGGCATGAAGGAGACGGGAGATCGAATCGTAGAAGAAGAAGAGGAGGTAGTATTTGTGGTGGCAGTCGAGATGGGGGGAGGAGGAGCGGTGGTGTTGGCGGTGATGGATGAGGTACGTGGAGGACGAGGAGAGGAGGTCACCGACACGGCACCGGGATTGAAGGCAGAGTGACGCGGCGAGATGGTGGTCACATTGGAAGTAATCGACGAGGCATCACTGCCTGAGGAAGCAGGGCGGGCGTAGGAGAAGTCGTCGAAGGAGCGGCGAGGGGGCTGTGAAAGTGGATGATGAGGTGGAGGAAGAGGTGAGCGAGACGAGGATCGCTCGGGCGACACCGGCGAGCGCAACATGATGTGAGCGAATAGATGGCTTCGGAGACAATGCTATCGAGACACAAACCCCGAACCCATGATATGAGGGGAGGAGGAGAAAAGTCGTGCTGGCGGCGAAAACCAGTCTAGATCCCCTGGATTGATTGATTGCTTGTTTGGCTTTCAGCCGCCTTGGGGAGGATCAGCGACCGAAAAGGCGCCCGGCCGGACGATCTTCGCTCGTGAAACAAATCCAGCGCAAAGCAAGTCTTCCCCTCCCGCCCGCACGTCCTTTCTTTCTCCAACTTTATCCATCCCACTTGATTCCTTCCCCGCGACATATACCTTAATTAATATTCTATTCTCATCCTCCACGCGATCTCCTAAAATGTCTGCCAACAAGCTCCACGCTGCTTATGTCGCTCCCGACCAGTCTCGCACTTTCGAGCACAGCATTTCTTCCCCGCTCCCCTCCGCCGACGCCGTCCCTCAGAAGGTGACCTATCTCGCTGAACTACGCAAGCTCGTACCCACTCTGCAGAACGACATCAACGTATTCCTGACCGAGCGCATGGAAGAGGACAAGAAGGCTGCCGAGGCACAGGGTCAAAAGGTCTCTGATAAGGAAGCCAAGGAGGAGGAAAACTACGGAGAGGAGGTTGTGGAAGAGGATGCTTGATCCTGCCATACCCGAAGTTGAGACAATTGAGAGAAAGTGTGTGGATGCTACGGCTGACGAAGAACGAATCACGACTAAATAAATCATATGCATGGATCCTTGAATACCGCTATCCCGGGGTATCATCGTGTAGGAAATGTCCGCCACTCCGGTATGCTTTCGTTGAACAAGACATGGCCAGGAAATGCGGAAGGAAGATCAAACAAGCGAGAAAAAGAAAAGAAACCAGGAAAAGCACAGAAAAAAACCGCGATAACCGATACCACAATAAACCATGAACCTCTATATACACACAAATCAGGCTCAACGCATGCGATTGGCACAGCCAAGATGGACAACCGTATTACTGCCTTCAGTTAGCTAGGCTCAAGTCAACAGATTCTGGTTATACTCACTCCGGAAACACATTAATCACACTGCCTCCGATCCGCTTGTGGCAGATGCCGCAGACCCGTTCTTCGGTAATGGTGACATGTCGCGAGCGCGTCGATCGCCCGTCCGTCCCCTCTCCTACCAACAATTGCGCCTGCGTCTTGATGTCTTCTGCCTTTTGCAGGTTGGCCACGATCCGGCTCTCGTTAAGGATTGTGTTGGCGGCCCGCATACGGCCCTTGAAATAGAACTCGAGCTCTTTGACCGGGAGCGATTCCGGGATCAGATCCAGAGCAGAATTGGGTGGCAGCCGGGATCCATGTTTGGCCAGCACCTCAAGCGCGGGCCCGTACCGTGGCTTGTAGCCATGCGGCGGCGATAGATATAGAGACAATAGAGTCAAATAAATCGGTGGTTTGTCATCCTCATACGGCAGTAGAGCTACACAGCGCGAAGCCGCTCCATCCGCAGCAGTCGTATCTTCCACTTTATGGAGATGATTACAGTATCTGAACGGTCAGCAGAACTCATGTAAATCGATAATGCAACTCACTCTTCAGCCTTGACGTAGTCTTCCAACTTGAACACGTAGATTTCCAGTGCCTGCCGGTGCTGTCCCATTTTGCTGAAGACAATCGCTCGCGCCTCGAAGAACTCGGGATCTGTCGCAAGTCAGCAACGTAATGTAAGCGCAAGAAGGGTACTCACCGTCCCGATCCAGTCGATCCAGAATCTTGGCTGGAGAATACTGAGAGCTGGACCTGAGCATATTCAAGAATTTGCTCTGCCAATTGACATAGTCATCCAGACTCGAAAACTCCCACTCTTTCGCTTGGTGCTTCTTTAGTCGTTCCAAGTAAAGGACGAGCAGTTTCTGATGCAAATCTGGTGTCATATCATTCAACTCCCCAATGATATGTTCCAGGTATCGGACAGCCAGGTTGACATCAATGCCCTGCAGAAAGTCTAGCACGCGGTCTCTTGGCAACGTCTCCGCGTTCTCCGTATCTGCCAGGAATATCTCCATGCCCAGCTCGGGATCCTGGCGTACCGGCCACTCAGCGAACTCGAGGATCAAGTCAATATGGTCTGGAGACAGATTCTGCAGATAATTGACTGTTCGCTTCGGCCCGTGCAGCTGAGGCGCCGTCTCTTCTTCCTCGTCGGCTTGTCCAAACTTCTGGAGTAGCTCCAACGCCTGCCGATGCAGCTTCTTTCCGTATAGAAAGTCAATCAGATCGTTGTGGCGTCCCGTCTCCTCCAGCTTCTCCATCACCACATCCGGGTCGCAGAAGTTGGCAATGCGGAACAATGATCCTGCCAGTGCTGGAATCGCGTACATGTACGCCCGGAAGAGAGTCGTGTCCACGAGTCTTGCCTTTTCCCGCAGCGCTTCCCCGAGATCATACTCACCCTCCGGATCAATGCTCAGCAGCTTCATGACCGAGTCCGTCAACGCATCGTTCGCGCCGTCCGTCGTCGCATCGACCACCTTCAGCGTCCCATCCGGGTTCAGGAAGCGCTGGAACCGCCTCCGCACATCCGCCAGATACCTCTGCAGGTCACGAACAGCCAGCTTGAGATCGGCCCCTTCCAGCGCCTTGTCGTTCTTGGCCTCCTCGACGACCTTGCCCCGAATACTGCCCGCATCGCTGGCATCATCTGTCCGCGTCCGCAGAAGTGACATCACTGACGGAGCATGCGAGAGTGTCTTCGGCGCTGGCGGCTCCTCCGCAGCCGGCGCGTCCGCTGGACTATTGTTCTCTTGCGTCTTAGACTGGCTATCTGTTGTCCCATCTTCGGACTCCTCCGGCTCCTCGACAATTGACGAGAGCTCCCCGGCGATGATCTTCGGATACAGTCGTATAACCGTCTCCGGGGGCGCAGATATCTCCGTAAACAGATCCATCGAATCCGTATACTTTCGCATCTTGAACAGCCCCTCAGCCTTCTCCAGCTTGATCTGGCGCAGCCGACCCTGCTTATCCCTTAGCAGCGCATCCTCCAGCATACTGGCCAGACTGATCGCCTCGTCCAGATACCCCTTCTCGACCAGCGAGTCAATCTGCGTATCATAACTCAGCGCCTCCATCCGCCAAATCGTCCGATCACTCGCCACCAAGAACCCCTTCCCAGCATGCGCCAGACTAATCGTCGGCTGCGGGATATGCATAATACTGGCAGACGGTAACGGCACCGACTGCAACAGCGACAACGTCTCCGGATTCCGCACCTCCAACACCCCCTTCGAAGCATCATGCAGCGCCAACAGAAACGGATACGAATACCCAATATCCGCCGGCGCATGACTCCAGGGTATCTGCCTCCTCCCCAGCGAATTCCCCTGCACATCAATAAAATGCGTATTGATATCCTTCGCCAGCAACACCTGACCCTCCTTCAACCTCGTCGCCAACGGCTTCGGCGCACTACCCCCAAGTCCCATATAACTCATACTGGCGACTCCCACCCCGGCCAGTCTCCCCGTACTCTCCTGACCCCCTAATCCCCCTATCCCAGACGGACCCGTCAAATCCGTCACCGTCCCACCACCATCCCCCTCAATATCAACCATGACAAACCCAGACCCCAACCCAGCCACCAACCTCGTCCCAGACACCCACGTCAACGTCTTAATCCCACTCACCAGCGTCATCTCCATAGGCCCGCCCGCTTCCATCTCCATATCCCTCCACACCCACACCATTATCTTCCTCTTCACCGCCACCGCCACCCTCGACACAATAGCAGGCACGCCCGTTTCGGAATCATTCTCGATATTCGACGTCACCGCAAATGTCGTCGCCCCCTTCGTCTTCGCCAATTGCTCCTGCAACGAATACGTCCCCAGATCATGCAGGGACACATATCCCCCGGACAGAGAAACAAGCACCTTAGCCTCCTTAATCAGCGCCAACTGCTCAATCTTATACCGCGAGAACTTTTCCACTTCGCGGAGCAGCTCCGTGGGTTTCTTGCTGTGCTGTTGTTGTTGTTCTCGGTTCCCGTTCGTAGTCCCGTTCGCGATTATCCCCGTCTCTGCGTTGCCGTTGCCGTTGCCGATTCCATGTTGTTGTTGTTGTTGTTGTTGTTGTTGTTGCTCGGTAGTATCTTTCTTCCCCTTCCCCTTCCCATCACCATCCTGCTGCTGTTGTACCTCCCCCTCTTCTTCCCCCTCGTCTTCCTCATTCACCCGATATATCCTCAAACTCCCATTATTCAGCCCCGCCAGGACGCGATCCCCATACGCCAGCACAGACTCGATGCGTGATCGATCGCGCGGTTTGAGTTCCACGAGCGGACGGGCCGTGAATGCGGATAACATTGTCGAAGATATAAACCCCTGTCTGTCTTTGCTGCTCTCTGCGTATGTATGTGTTGTGTATATATTCAAGGTATCGGTAGGCGTATAGTGTAGGGCGGTGTGCTGGGTAGCTAGCTAGCTAGCTAGCTCGGTACGTTGTGGAGGATGGATGCTCGGGAGGTAGGTAGGTAATGCGCCGTTCGCGATCGATCGGGGGTTAGGTTCATGTCATGTCGTGGGTGTGAGAATGTGCAATTAGTCTCTCGGGGGAAAGGGCGGAGTTAGAAGGTGGAGGTGGGTGTCATGGTTTGGGTGTTCGTTGTATGTATGTAGGTGAGTGATGTGGTGCGGTGGTTGGGCGGAGGTTGATTGATAGCGGCGGAGCTCCTACGGAGGAGTAGTGAGTGTCCAGCTGGACCGGACAGCTGCCCTTGTCTGTCTCCCCGGGCCGTGTGCCAAGATGGGTTTGCCCGGCTGTCTGTACTACAACTATCTATGTATCTATATTCTGGATTAAATTGTGACAGCATCCCTTGCGTGTCATTTAATTTTAGAAAATTTTGTAGCAATGATTATATCAACGTTGTCTTGAGTATCTAGTCTATTATGCTAAGCTAACCGATGGATGGATGTCCTGCACACACCGCTACTATCCCATCCATGGGTGTGCCATCCGCTGGCTTAAAGCTCCGATCCCATGCAATGAATCAATTCCATAACTGCCAACCGACCGATCAAAACCCATAACACAGCCCGACGGGCCGCGACCGACAAGGAATCCGGACTTTTGCAAATATCAAGACCAAAGAATGGAGTGAACGCACGGCGCATGTACAATGTGAAGGTAAGCCAGATCCCGATCGGGAATGAGAGAAGGCAAAACCGATAGGTAGGATAACTATAAGACCGAAAGGTCTAATGTGTTTCAAGCTTCAAATATAATAATAGTCGTCGGAATGCCTCTCAGATCATGCCTTGATCTCCGTGGGATATTCCTGGTGTTTGGCCGACGTGCCCTTCGCACGCCATGTCGAAACAGCGGGGATGTCTGCCTTGAAGCGCTGCTCGTCGGTGCCGTATGCGCGCGGCGTGAGCTTGATCAGCGTATGGAGCGGCACCTCCATCCAGGGACTTTGCTCCTGTGGCGTGTTGAGGAAGTAGGCATAGATGCAGCGGAGAACGGCCTGGTGTGTGACAATAATGACGTTCTCGCTACGCTCCAGCTCCATGATAATTGGCTCTAGCCGGATGACCACATCGCGGTATGACTCGCCACCCCGGTAGCGGTAGTTGTACTTGTCCTCGTCGCGCGCAGCAAAGTCTTCCGGATACTTCTCCGCAATCTGCTCGTACGTGAGCCCGTCACAGACCCCGGAGTCAAGCTCATCCAGCGCCTTCCACTCTAGCTTCTCGAAGCCCGTCTCCGCGGCGAGATGACGAGCCGTTTGAATCGTACGTTTCAGAGTTGACGTCCAAATAACGATCTTGGTGTTGGGTGGAACCCCTGACTTCTTTAATAACCCGGGCAGCGCTCGGGCGTATGCCTCTCCTCGCTCTGAAATGTTGGAGTCGCCGCCAATTTTCCCCGTTAGATTATATTCTGACTCGCCGTGCTACATACGTTAGATCAATGGTATTCATAAGAGGAGGAAAACTTACTCGAGATAACCAGATCGAGCGAGGTTTGATGTGAAGGTTCTGGATGTAGTAGACCAGCCGACTGGAAAGGTAATCCTTAATCTGATTAATGATGACGGTCGATCCGACATTGATGAGTTTGACGTAGGTGAAGTGCTTCTCGTTATCATCAATGGTCTCATAGACCTTCTCATAATTGCGAATGCGGTTACGGAAATCGAGAGCAGCAACTTCCGGGTCCTGCCCCTTGTAGTCCGGCGACGTTGTCTTGACTTCCAAGATGTTGTTCATGATCAAGTCCTCGTCATCACATATTGACTCGACGTATAATGTTTCGACGTTTGCCTCCTGGCAGCGTTCATGGATCCAGCGCCGTCGCTCTTTCGTGGAATTGGTCGCATCCAAGATAGCTACGACGCCTTTCCCGGACTGAAACCACTGGAGCATATCAGACACCGCAGCCTCGGCGGCGGCGCGTCTCATTTTCTCGCCTTCGGTATTATGAGGGTCGAAGAAGTTCGCATTGGGCTGTGGCGTGCCTGCACGACGGTAGCTGCCGACGTTGAATACCCGAGCGGGGATGCCAACCCAGGCAAGATATCGCATAGCTGCATCAATTAGTGCCTGACGTCCAACAGCCAAAATCACCAGAGCGTACCTTTTCCAGCTATGAGACTCTTGCCTCTGGCTGGGAGGCCAACCATGACCACACAGATCTTCGAGTCATCGGACTAAGAAGAGTAAGTCTCTGGAATGCTGCCATTGCGAAACGACGTAGATGCCCAAATTGGGAGAGTAACAAGTTGCGACGAAATAAACATGATACAGAATAAACAAGCAGCGTTGCAGTGCAATATGTCCAGGGTCATCGCAGATCCGGGCAATTGCCCCTCCCAAAAGGAGGGGTATACAGCCTCACCGGACGCATGCCAGGGCAGTACATAACGTCACCGGCAACACTGGGTCACCGCGCCACTCAATCAACAGACAACGACAAAAGAACCGTTTCACTTACGCTGGCGAAATAATTATGGCCATTGCCCCTCCGAATGGAACCGGACGACATGATGAATGAGCGGAAGGAATGAGCAGGGAGTCGACTCCTGACTGGGATCGACTTGACTGGGATGAGGCGAACTCAAGACCTCGGCCACCAGGGGTGCCCGACCGGACGCAAGCCGGAAGAAAGGATATAGGGACGGATAAGGTCAGTAGCGGGTGAAAAAGCACAGGGCGTGAGAGTAGCGAAAGTGTGATAGAATCTGCAAGTAATGGGACGTGTCGGAGGGAGAAAATATTCTAGAAAGTTGAGTTTGGACAGATCCGGCCTGTCTTTGGTATGGGGGGAGTAGCAATAGCAAGTAGTACAAAGTAGTGGAAGTAAGTTAATCGATCAACAGCAGCTCTGGTTGGATGCCATTAAACCCAACAATTCGATGCGGTGAAGAAGAAGAAGCACAGACGTCATGCCGCGGGGCAGTCGCAACAAGGCCGAGAGTTCCAGGCAGGAAGTATCCAGTCCTTTAAAAGTATTTCATTCACTCCCTGAAGGTAGAATCGAAGCAGCTCAGAACACCTCTGGAAAACTTCGGTCGCAGAATATCCGGGGAGATGGAAATTTCCCCAGTCTTGCCTGATCGTCTAGCCCCCCGACAATTTCCCTCCGAATTGAACTAGTAGTAGTAATATTGCCTCCCTTCTGTCCACACGTGATCTCCTGCGTTTTCGTCGGGTAAAATCGCGACCGAATCTGGATGGGAAGAGGGGCGCGTCGGGATGGACGAAGGAAGTCTGGATCTGGACGTGAAATTTTGGTGCAAAGTTCCTGAGAGGCTCCCCTGGTGACACTTCTTATAGTCGAGGATCGCATGATATGATACTGACTTGGTACTATCATCCTATATTATTTGATATCGAATGGAGCCACGCCGATTGGGTCCCTTGCATGTCTCCCTGGTGGGACTTTGGACGACTATCAGCCGAACTCCTCATTACCCCGTACTCCTGGGGTCGATTTACATGAGCGATTTTTCGTCGTAGTCTGGACCCAATGAGCCCAATATTGGGTGATGCTCCGGTCGATTCCGTCTAGTTTGCGGGAATTGAAGTTTTCTCGAGTGCGCGTGACCGATACGAAACTACTACCTCCTACTATCTATTGACTGCGAGATATACCCAAAAACGGAAAACGTACAAGAGATGGATGATGGATAGTCATGAGTGATTATATGCATTTGTGGATATTATAGATAGGTAAATTCCAGGCGTCCTGCTATGCAATGCTTTTGCCGGCCATCGGGCCGATATTTTTAACCGTGTCCCCCTTTTTTTAGTCTCCGTCTCCGTCTCATATCCGTACGGTAGATGCGTAGCCCTACGGATACGAACGTCGAGGTCATCGATAGATGCTTCAGCGCGGGTTCTTCAGCAACCCTGCTAAGCATTGCCCCTTTCCGCAGACCCATGGCGTGCCATTGGCTCCCAGTCCGCGGCTTATCAACGGAGGCGGAGGCGGATGAGCGTAGTTCGTAACTTCTTTTTTTGGGGTGGAAGCCCCTTATTCATATCGTAACAACGTCAGGCATCTATTTTTAGTGTTGGGGATCAAGTCTGATTCCCATGATGGATGATTGCTCCGATGTGTCGCGCTAGTGAGACTATGCGGCGGCCGCAACCTCCTCAGCAACCGGGGTGGCTTCGTCCCGGCTGGACGACCACTTGGGTCTCCGCTCTTGCGAGTTGTTCTCTCCACGGGCTCTCTGGACCCGGAGGACGGCACCCCAGGGACCTTCAGCGCGGTTCAGGGCGTTCATGGCATTCTCAGCCTCCTCGACGCTGCTGAAGTCGACGAACAGGTAGTAGTGGTCACCGGGCTCGAATCTCTTCGCGGGGTGAGGAGCGAACAGCTTGCTGACATTCTCACTATGCAGCCAATTAGCATCCTGGACAATCTATACACGCAGGAACCAATCCATACACTTTGTAATCCTTGAAGAAGTTGGTCATGTTGCTGGTGATCGCCTCCTGGTCCGTCAACCTTGGGAGGCCGCCAACATAGAGGCGACGGCTGGGATCGCTGTTGGAGGGGGTACTGGCAGTGGTGGTGGTAGTGGTCTTCGACGGGGTGCGCGGGGGCTGGGCCTCGTCGCCGCGGCGCCACCGGTCCATGCTGAAGGGAGAAGAACGAGTCTCACGAGGGGAGGCATCCGAGCGCGGCTGTTGCTGTTGCTGCTGCTGAGCCCGCTCACTCTGGGTCTTCACGACACCAGGCTTGATCTTGACGGGACGGCCAAGCATGTCCCGACCGTCCAACTCCGTCATGGCGCGCTCAGCCAGCTCCTTGGTCTCCAGATCGACGAAACAGTATGAGGGGTTGCGGCCGGTAAAAGGATCGATGGCGATATCGATACGCTCGCTATTAAGCACTCAGTTTGGAACTCCCACGGGTGTCTTCTGTTCAAAGAATCCATACATTCGGAACTCAGCCGCATCGAAGAGAGCCTGCACATCCTCCGACTTGGCCGTGTAGGGCATGTTGCCCACGTAGAGACGGCGGCCCTCCGAGATGGCCTGGGGCACATGCGGGCTGGGTCTGCTGAATGCAATTCTCGAGGTGCTGGTCTTGGGACCGGGGGACCCGGCAGCGGCGCTCTGGCCACTAGGGCTCTCATCGCGCTTCACACGCCAGTTGGGGGAGTGGAAGGCCCGGCCTGTGGTTCTGACCCCATTCTGGAAGACATTCTTTTGGGGAGCTAGGCACGCATTAGCGATTTAGGATATGGCCGTGAAAAATTGGATTCAGCCCGAAGTGAGCAGCCCAATGCGATCGCCTACACACTTTGTTCCTGGGGCCTCGGGCTCTCGGGAGCGTCGACCATTGTGACGGTAGAATGTGAAGTGAGGGGTGAGGGTATAGTCTATGGATTCAAGGTTCGTTAGTATGGATTGACACAGAATTTACTTATTTCCTAATCGGACAGACAATCATGGCAGTCAAAAGAGGGGATTCATACCGTGAACAGGACAAAAGAAGAGTCACAGAAAGCCAACGATTGCCTTCCAGGAAATATCCAAGGCAAGAGAAAATCCCCCGGACAACAAAAAAAGCGAATGCCAACACAAAAAAAACGTCGACGCTGTAGCCTGCGTCAGAAATTGCCCTCTACATTTTTTTGATGCGAAATGGAGCCAAACAGCGCAAATGCCGCAAACAGAACAAACAGCTGTAGATGGATTAATCTCTGCGCTGCCGATGATTGGCCTGTTAGCGAACCGGGGGAGATTTTCTTCATATAAAGCCGCCCTTTGTTTTTTCTCATTCCATCTTCACTCACTTCCACATCTACTTCGACAGCAGATTCAGAATCAATTCAGATGTCTACCTAATATGGTAACTGTCTAATCGACAGCAGCTTCAAAGCTACGGGATTAATGCATTCCGTTATTTGCTCTGCAGATCTGCAGAAATGTCACCAATACTTTTTCCTTGTCTTTGTTTATTGCTTTTTTGTTTACAGCGTTCCACACATACAAGTCATCCTTCAATGATGAAGCAAGATTTCACACAGACCTGTTCCGAGTTTATAAAACATGCGGATTGACAATCGTTCCAACTGCTGTCTGACGATGTGATGACTTGTATTCCCTTGCCCTTATTCAAGATAGATTTATCAAAGAATGGATTTTTACTCGTGAAATGATTCCACATCGTAGTCAATTGTAGAAAATATGTTTTCTTACAATTATAGAATTCATCCTAACGCTATCGATATTCAGTTTGCATAGCATACCCTACATGATAAGCCTACGGATACTCCACGGCGATAGAATACTCCGTATCTGCCCTGGCAATACTACAAGTCAAGGGCAATTGGTACAGTCATTGCCTAAGGGCACTTACCAAGGTATATACACTCCTAGCCCTAATTATCGAACGGTTTGTTCTTAGATATTGAGCAGCCAACCCAAACCCCTTATACTTCAATAATAAAACCCCGTGCCCGGACTAAATCACTTAGAAGACAGCTTCAAGTATAAACAGTAAACTCATGGTATATATTTTTCACTCAAACTATAGAAACACCACCAGTCGTCTCGTCACTCGTATACAGCATACTAATATTTACACTTTCCCCATCCATTTTTGATATCCCAGCACATATAGGAATATCACCACATTCCAACCAGAAAGACTACCTGCTACTCACCCCTTCAACCCCCAAACCGCACCCCCAATAACCCCAAACACCAATACATGCAAGAGAACTCCCAACCCAGACATAAGCAACAACACCCACCCCTGCAACTGATTCTTAACCACAACCTCCGAATACCTCTGATCACTAAAGCTCACTCTCGAATACAGCGTCTTCCACCCCAAAACGGGCACATACCGCTGCAACGCCTCCTCGACATACTTCCTCGCCTTGTAAACCGGCGAATTCACCCCACCCCGCAACTCCAGATAATTCCTCCTGGAGAGGTCATGAATAGCATGAGCATCGCGAACACGCTGATTCGAGTACTCCGTCAACGCCGCGGCGCGGGCATGCTCCTTATTGTTATTACTCGACAACTTGCCATGACTGAACACGCGGTGCTCATCGAGTAAATCGAAGAGGATCCGAACGTCCTCCATCCCTGCGTTCAGTCCCTGGCCGTAGAACGGGAACATGGCGTGCGCGGCGTCGCCGATGATCACGGCTGTGGAGCCGTAATGGTGCGGGCTGCATTTTATGCCGATGAGGGGGAGGTGCGGGCTTTGGTAGAATTGTTGGGAGAGGGAGGTTTGGGAGATTAGGTCTGGGCAGACGCCCGGGAAGTGGGTGTCGAAGAAGTCGAAGAGGGTGGTTGGAGGGGAGGATTTGAGAGAGTCGAGACAGGATGCTGGCGCGAAGAGAATGCAGTTGAAGGATTGGTCTGGGCAGGGGAAGGCGCAGAACATGTATTGCCCTCCGGGCCAGATGTGGAGGTAGTTGGGGGGGAGTCGGTAGGAGTTGGTCTTTTCGGTGGGTGGGATGCGGAGTTCGCACCATACTGTGTCGGCGTATTGTTGTTGGTAGTCGAGTGGGGTGTGGCGCATTATTTGTTGTCTGGTGGTGGAGTGGGCGCCGTCGGCGCCGATGAGGAAGTCGAAGGGGACTTCTTTGGGTGGGGGTGGTGTCGTTGTGGATGGTGATGTGTTGGGGTCTTCTCGTTGCTCGAACCACACCTTGCGGGTTTTCATGTCTGCTCGGATGAGCTTGTGGTGGAAGAACATCTTCACGTTAGGGGTGGCGTCGAGCTCTTGACGGAGGGCGATGTTGAGGGCTTTGCGGTCTAGAGAGTATAGGGAGTTTCCGTGTACATCGTATTGGTGGAAGGTCTGTTGGAGTTTGCCTGATACGCTTCTTCCGTGAACCATTCTGCCGTGCATGGGGATGGCAGTCCGCATGATGGCGCGGAGGAGGTCAGTTCGACCGGACTTTTCGAGGGCTCTGATGCCCCGTTCGGAGAGAGTGAAGTTGATGGACTTCTGAAGCAGGGGAGAGGCGCCTGATGGGTTGAGACGCTCATCTAGAGGAGGACTTGTTAGCTGGATGTATGAGTATGGGAGCTTCTTGTACGAACATACCGCCACGCAGTTCGTATACTTCTACATTGTCATGGTAATGGCTGGCATAGAGGGCCGCCAGAGAGCCCACTGGCCCACCACCAACGATGACAATCTTTCCGTCTGCAGCCATTGTAGTCATATTCATTGTTCTTGGAGACTCGGATGATGTCTTCTGGTATATCCACGGAGGAGAAGAGGAGCCAGCTTATATAGCTGAGGCACGCCCAGGGATTACGCGATATAAACCATGAGAAGATTCGTGCAAAGTCTATACTGGCAATAGCTGTAGCACTTGTCTCATTTTCGACCCTTTACCGTCATCAGGCAGGCAGGGCCACGAGATCATCATGAAGAGCAACCATGTGGGCCACCTCTCGGCCGTACTTACATCTTGCTCCGAGTATTGCACGAGCCATACTTAATAGGTAAAGAGTAGCACGTTGGAGCGGCACGTTCGTCGGTTGTATGCAGTTGTGACGACGATTCTGCATTGACGTAGGTGAGGAGCTGAACTCAATTCCAACCATCCAGGCATCAGACAAGGACATGAGAGAGAAGAACATAGTAGATACCGTAACAATACCGACTCATGGATGCGAGTCATGTGGAGACATAATACTAGTACTCCGTAGTCACAGTATACTAGTACTAGTACTAGTAGACAGTAATGCTCAAATCCCGAAGGACCGCAATATCCAACACCATCCCATCCTTAGCTGATATTAATCTAACCTCGGGCAACAATGCAACGCAATTGCACACTAATCGTGTTAATCATGCAGAGGTGATGTGCTCAGCTGAAATGCACGTTGTCGTTGGCGCGACAGATCGAGCGCAAACGGAAAACCCGATGATTGGACACCCTACGATGTAACCCCTCCTCCTTGCATACCGAGTTTAAACACCATTCAGCTCCAATCAGCCTTACACTCTAGTTAGTATTAGAAATCACTAGTTACGGTCAGAGGTCCAATTCCGCACCGTGCGACTTAAACTAAAAGTCTATTTACCTGCACATCGCCCGACGATCATGACCTATCCACCACCACCACCGAATCCAGTAAGTGTACATACTTTAATCCATATAACCATACCTACATCCTCTAACTTACTGCACGCCATGCAGCAACAATCCTTCAGACAACTCACCCAAATACCCACCACTGGCTATAGCTTAATCTCCGCAATCAATAAAAACCTGCACCTTGCGCCATAGAAAACCATGTCAAAATCGCCAAGAAGAACCAACACCATCAACAAATTCACCTTCACCCGCCCCGGCGACGTCGTATACGAGTTTCCCAAATACACCTCCGCCTCCTGCAAAGTCCGCATCACTCTACCTCCAGGCAGCACCTGGACCTCAGGCCCACACTGGCACGAAAAGCGCGTCGAATACTTCCGCGTTGTGCAAGGCGCCGCCTGGTTCACCCTAAACGGTGAATACAAAGTCTATCGGCCGTCGGACGGCAACGTGCCGATCCCATTATTCACGGTCCATGAATGGGGTCGGGCTCCTGAGCAAGAAGAGGGGGATTTGATTGTGGATGAGTGGACAGCGCCGGCGGATTCGTTCAAGATTGCGTTCTTCCGTAACTTGAACAGTGTCATTCTGGATGAGACGAGTGATGGGAAGACACCGCCGAGGAGTGAGTGGTGGTTGACGTTGCAGCTGTGGGTGATTTGCCATGGGTTGGATAATTGGCCTGTGTTTTGTAGAGGGTTGTTTGGCGTGCAGTGGGTTGTTACGCATGTGTTTTTGGGTTTGGTTGCGTTGGTGGGTTCGGCGGTCTGGGGGTTGAGGGCTGCTTATGATGAGTATACGGCACAGGGGATTAAGGATGTTATTCGAGCTGCTAAGGAGGGGAAGAGGGTGAAGAGAAGAGGTGTTGATTGATTGAGTGCATGTTGTTTTGTGTATAGTGTTTGCCACGTCAGGTTTGGATGTGGGTTGAACGTTAGGCCGCCTGCATGAATGTGATACTATCGTTGCCAAGTATGCAGTTGCAGTAACTACACAGTTTGCATTAGTAAAGGGTCCAATGCAGTTTCAACCTGGAGTAGAAGTAAACTCTCAATTGACTTAGCAGGTATAACTCGTGATGCTACCGTGATCGGCGAATAGCCACCACCGCGCTAGCCCACATCATCATTTGTTCAAAATCAACTAGCTAGCTCGGGGTGTTGTCGGTTCTAGCCCTTCGGATATCCCACTAAGTATCGACGCCCGACTCAGCTACTCCAGCGGTGACTGACACGATGCAGCTGCTCTTCTTGGCAGACACTTGCTGCTACTTGATAGTATATGTGAAGCACCGTCTCGTATTCCCGAGGATATACCACTAATCCATGCTCCTAACTACTACAGCGTCTACACCAGAATAGATTAAATTGGACTGGTAAGAAAACTATTAGGTAGATAGGTGGGACAAGTTCAGCCAAGCCCAGTCCAGCCCAGCTTAGCACTTCACCTGATTCTACGATTCTAATAACTAGTAGTATTATAATTAGTAGACGATGAAGTCTCCAAAGTAGAATAGCCCATATACTATACACAACTCTCAATCAAAATAATACTTTCTGCTCAATTTACAAGAACTCAGTACTACTTACTATGCCCTAAACATGCCCGCGCATAGATAAAGAAATTTACATCCATACCATGCATATCTCTACCTTGGTCTTAGATCTTATCCATCAATCCATGCACTTACCTACACTCTCCGAGTCTAATAATTATCTCGACACCATCTCAGCTGAGGTGGAGTGGGGTCACGGTTGCTAGCTCCGCGTTAGTAGAAGTGTTACGTACCTGGGCGCTTTCGCCACTTGCGACACGCATAGGGGGCTTTCCGTGGTGGGAATATCTTTGTATCTTTTCGAAACGGGGATGAGCTGAGAAATAAAAGAGGGGTTCCTGGTGAGGGGCGATGAAAATGCGTTATTGCTTTTTGTTGCCATTGGGTGGGTGCGGGGTTGTCGACAGACATGTTTATCTTAGACACTTGAGAATGAGCAATGATTGAAGTTCTGAGAGTGGGTTCATGACTGAATCAGCACAATATTTTGACGATCTAATTAGGATTATTTGACAAAGCAACTGCTCGGCAACTCTGCTACAAGCTAAGCAACATCATCATATCATATCCTCCATTTTGTAGACCTTCGTACATATGACCATCGATCACGACAGGATCTCCCCGAAGGATCAGCGAGATCGTCAGGCAGTGTTGTATCCAGCCTCGGTCATGGGAACCTCGTCGTCTCGCTCATACAAGATCTCCGGGCGGATCTTCTGGCGTAGAATGTACCTTCGGGAAAAGTAAGGAATCTGGCGGAGTCCATATGCCGCATGAAAGCGCGTCGGAACCGAAAACACCTGGTCTAATTCCTCCAGCGTCTTGCCCTTGGTTTCAGGCATGAACATCAGGATTAGCCACCATCCGACTATGCACCACCCCGCGTACCAGCTGAAAGCCCCCTGCGGGGTAAATGCCGCACGCAGGGAGGGCCAGGTAATGGCTAGCAGACAGTTGAACAGCCATGTTGTCGCCGTTGCCAAAGCCATGCCGTGGGAACGGACGTAGAGTGGATAGGCTTCAGCGGAATAGGTGAATGGCACTGGACCCTCGCCGACAGAATACACTATCGCGAATAGATACGTGCCTAACGCAATGCATCCAAGGCGGGCTGAAGAGTGTGTATCTTCAGGTATCCAGAAGCTGAAACCAGTGAAGAACATGGACAATGCCATTAACGGAAACGTGGCGAGAAGAAGGTTGCGCCGGCCAAAGGTATCAATTGTGTATACAGCCGGTATAGCGAAAAGCCAGTTGATCATACCCCATCCAAAAGAGGCTGCCAGTGCTTTTCGCTGGTTTGATACAGACAACTGCGTCAGTGAATTTCCCGTCGTTCCGAGGAAAATCTCAGATGAATAGTAGGCAATAACATTGACACCTGCAGCAGAGTCAGTATTTACATACTAGGGATACTCGGTATCATACCGCAGAACTAATGCAATCGGTTAGCAGCAGCTCAGTTGGGAATGCAGTTGTGGTTGACATACCTGTTGCATGAACATGACGAGCTCCGACGCAATCAACGCGCGCCGGTTTCGGGGAACGGCGATAAGTTCGATGAGTTTGTTCTGCCCCAGTTTCATGCCTGTCTCTGCCTGCAGCAACGTGTGCATGTAGTACAAGTCACGCGCAGCCTGAACCTTGTTGAAACGTAAACTGCACATGGACTCATAGGCCTTGTCATAGCGATTGCGCGACATGTACCAACGAGGCGACTCGGGACACGTGAACACAAAGCAGCAGACGAGAAGGGCTGGGAACAAGGCTGAGGCCATCATCAAGCGCCAGTTGAGACCGACAATCCCTGCAGGGTCCTGTATCTCAAAGAAGGCCAGGTCGGCAACGTAGCCAAACATGATGCCAAACGCGGTCCACATCTGCCATTGCATGACCAAGGCACCACGAATGACCGGAGGGGCTGTTTCTGCGGCGTAGATCGGGACGGTGGCTGACTTGGGTCCAATGCCAAAGCCCAGAGCAAAGCGCGCAATAAACATGTGCCACCAGGTGTTAACGAACCCCTGCCAGAGACAGGTGATAGCCGAAAAACAACAGGTAATGAAGATGGTGCCTCGTCGGCCGAACCACGCATTGAACGGGACTGTTAACCAGCATCCGATCAGAGCACAACACATGTAAGGTGCACAGTTTACGAGACCAAGCAGCCAGTTTGACCTCGATTCGCTGCCACGATCAATGCCGAACTGATGCTTGTAGAAAATCTGGGCGCCATTGACGACAGTTTCATCTGCAGGTGCATGATTGTCTTAGCCTGCGTCGTGCCACATCAGGCGTGTTGAAGAAAAGGCTTGAACTTACCCATTCCCTGAACCGCAGCCGACAGGGAACACAAGCAAATGACCAGGTACATTGTCCACGGCTGGGACCAGCGATGAGCGTATTCATTCTCTAGAACTGCCAACTCTTGGGGCGTCAGGCCGGGCACCTCTGCATATCGTTCCGGGACCTGCGCCAACATGGCACCCATTGCAAAGGCACGCACATCTTCTTCGTCACCCATCTGGTGAGTGATGGCGAAGTTGATGCCCTGCTGGCGTAGTTCCTCCTGGGTGTATCCGGCCAGGGGATTGGCAAGCTTCGCGTTCATGTTCCGGCGCGCTCGCTCTGCAGCTGTTCCGAAGGAACGCTGGAGACGAATGTTTTCCCTGTGGTCAGATGCATATTCATCATTCGAGGGTTTGTTTTCGAAGATAGGCTCCCCGATAACCGGGCATTCCTCTTTTCCAAACATTTCCAGGTATTGGGATCTGGTCGCGATAATGGCAGCTGATACTGTGGGGGCTGTAGAAACGAGAGACTGCGTGAAGATCGGCAAGAATTAGCAGGTGTCGATAATGTGAAGAGTTATTTGAATAGGGAGACATGGAGAAACAAATTCGTGACCGAGACCGGAGACATTAACATGAATGGCCGATTGCACAAGGATGGATCGCAAACCTGGCTGGACCGTTGGCGCCACTCCGAGGTGCATCAACAAAGGATGCAAGCAACGACAAAGAAGTGTAGTGTGAGAAGAGCGGATGTGAACAGACGAGCCAAGCAGGTCTACCAGCGATAGATCGGATGATACAAAGAACTGTTCAACGCGTAGGATGTGATGCAGGGATACGGAAGGATATGCGTGCAGAAAAGTGGAGTCTTGGGATGCATCACCACTTGCACAACTGGAACATTTGTCGACTCACCGTTTCAGCCAACATCCCGGGGCAATGACATCTACAGGCCACTGAAATCAGATCGAGTGCTGAGGCTGGACGCGTTGGTGAGAGTGTACAGGAGGGAAAAGAGAGAAGGCTGAAGGAGTCTGACTAACGAGCGACAGGGAGAGACACGATTCATTCACCGTGGACACATGCAAGACAAAGGAGGGAATGAGACTCATCCAGTCTCTGGGGTTGGCTGGTCCTTGAGGCTTAGAGACAGCCTTTGGTCGCGATCACAAACGTGGTTCCCTGTCATGAGCAATCAGTGGGCAACAATGAGGTTGTACAAGCCTCGTTTGCTGCAATGAGGCTACCCTCCATGTTGGATTGCGGTTTTGACATCCGCATGGCCATGCAACCCCAGATGCCAAATATAGTTTTTCATTTCCATCTGGACTGCATCCGTCGACATCGGGGCAATTTACGCTTCCAGATCTAAATCGTGGATGTTCTGGGGAATCAAAATGACAGACAAAGCAAGGATGGAAAAGATTACCGAGACTCAATTCGCATCTTCAAATCCCCGGATCGCCGTCGCTTAGACGTTGACTGGCGTGCGGGGTCGCTCTTACTCCACCGTCGGATCGCGCCAGGCCCGTCGGATGGAGCCAGACCATTGATGCTCCTAGACTCATTCCAGGATAGATAGTGTTGGATCATCCGATGGTTCTGATGCCGCTTTTCCGTTCGGATCTCCTTACAGCTCTTCAACGTCACATTTCCTACCCCGCATTCCGCAATGGCACCAGATTTCCTAAACCGACTACATCTGGACTATTATTCCAGCTATACCGACAATTACTAGTCAAAGGACATGCTGTAAAAGGCAAGGGAACATGGTTTCTATAGGCTGGTGATAATGCACGTCTGCAAGTCTCTACAGTGACGACATCCACTCTAGCCGACTGTAGGCCGCTCCACTGTCAATCCATAACTCATCCGTATAGTCGGATGCAGACACTTCTGCTAGCTATCGGAACAGCAACGGATAGATAAATCCAGGTACTATCTATCCATCCCCACTCTGCATACTCCACAGACTTAATGTTATTTGACCAAAAGTCCATGGGTCGGCAAAGGGTCGAGAGGGG